AGGTACTATTTTTGTAACCACATTTTTTTCACGTAATTACCTTACAAAAATATAAGGTTAGGATAAAATTCCTTTCCAGTAATACTTGGGACACGCCACTGTCTACAAAACTCCTTTTAGAATGCATATTCGTTCAATAGTCCGAGAATTTCACATCCTACAGAGAAGCCAAATACGAATTTGTTGCAAGTTGGCAGACTATATTTCCTATCCGAACGCATTATATTTTCAGAAAATAATTTACTAACGTCTACCCATAGATATTCGAATATCGTATCTATGGGTTATGTGAGTCATACTGTTGTTTCATAATTGCATTTAGATGATATTGTTTGCTAATCGTATATGTAGGCTAAATAATTTTGAATGTAAACATGAAATTCGAGCATCAGAGCGTTTATTACATCAAAGTACACATCATCGTAATTGAATAATATTATCAGGTCGTTTAATTCATCATCAAATAATTGCCTAATGATTGATTTTCTTAATTAACACAGCAGTTTCAAATTAAATCAAGCGAGCGGTGTAATACAACCCTAACAAATAGGGGTAAGTATATCAGTGACTATATATGTACACATAGGCATATCTAATAATGAATAATGCTATTTTCCTTTAATGTAGTATGTATTTTTTTTGTTTACATCATTCCCGTAGAGGCCATCAAAGTACAGTAGCTGTATTTATTTAAAGGTGATATAAATAAAAAAAAATAAAGTAGGTACCTACGGTTTGAAAAATCTATTAAACAAATAACATTCAATAAAATTATGGTGTTGATTACTGTCTCACATAAAAAATTACTGAATTTACATTCATCAGGGAAAAAAGTAGCCCAACTCAATTTTTTTAATTGGCTATGATTCAAACGTGTCAAGATATGAATCGACGGCAGAGAAAGAATTCCCTGCTCAGCCATTGGATTAAATGTTAACGCATAGGAATGCAGTGTTGTACCTACTTCTACTTTTCTCAAATAGCTCTACCTACGGTGAATTAGTAACATAACGAACCATGACCACATAATCAATATTATCTAATTTGTAATTTAACACGTCACAATCTAAATGTTAAACGTAGGTATTTACATTCAACTATGCGGTAAGGTTGAGACCTGCCGTTTTAAATGACAGGAATTTAAAAGCACAGTGACTCATTCGACAAACACAGCCAGCTCTGGTGATTTATGGAACAATCGTTACAAACACAGAAAAAATAAAACCTGTCAATACTTAGCATAATTTTTTATAAATGTAGTTGAAAGTAGACAGTTTTTATTAATCAAATTTCCATTAATTTGTACGTCTACCTACACGTCAATTGCACAACGGCAAAACTATCTTGCGCCTAATACCGAATTACAAATAATAAAATAACGTGTACTAATATCAGGCTTATCAGCTGTTCTTCATACATTCACCGACTACTTAATTAGACAGTTTTAAAGAAAACTTACGTTATAAAATCCCGTACTTCTGGAACACCTCTTACGATTCACCTAATTGCACATTTCCTCCTCACTGCAAGCACTGGAATCCGGTAAACACACATCAAATTGTTATTACTCGTGCAATCACTAGTTAATCAATTATTTAAAAATATTTTATTTTAAAACATTCTTTAGACACTGACGCGCTCACTTAGCCTTTTCTAATTTTCACTTTTGACAATAACGGTCGTTATTCACTTGTTTAGGTCAGACGATCACAGTACTACTTGATTTGGTATATTTTACATTGTTTACGATGTAATTTATTAAAACTATCTAACTGCATTGATATACCTAACTGATGATAAGACAATATTTAATATCATAATATTATTTTATGGCATCAGTATAATTTGAATTTAAAAAATTTCACAAAAACACTTCTTTTTATAAAAATTTCCTGTATGCACATTATTTATATTCTATTCTAATATACTGGTTTCTAGTTCGAAAATAGACATTTTAACTCTTAGTAGAAATGTCCTAATTTGTTTCTTTTAGTTTTATAACAATAACAATCAATTAATGTTTTGTAACGTATACCTATTTTACCTACTTGACAACAAACAACTGGTACTACCAACCTAAAAATAAAAAGGTATTTTTCCTTTCTTTGAATTTTCTTAATAATCGCCTAAAGCAAAGAATGCAATATTTTTTTGCTTTTCCTGAATATCGAATGAAAGTGTAATTTAGGAACAATTGCGATATATCTTTAGGTGTACGTACTTGAATTGAAATGGCTAAGTTAGATACCTACTGCTGTTAAAATAATATTAAATTCGTTTATACCTATTTCGTAGTAGTTCGTTGCTTGTAGGTATTTTATATATAAAATATGACGAATTATATTTTTATCCATTATAAGTTTAAAACTGTTGTATCGTAAAATGGAAAGGTTTCATTCATAGTGTACGATCTTGAGCCTACCTACATTTGAAACTACTGTCTAGTGTCCCGCATTGAGAAAACATGGTAATGTAAATGAGAACGTGAAATCAGAGCAGGTTTCAGTTGATTAATTTCTTATAAAACCAATATTATGATATACCACACAACAATTAGAGACCATAAGTAATATACGAAAGCAAAAAAAAATATAACAGTACTTAGCTGCGGATTTTAATAATAAAATCTGTAAAACTTATATTAGAAAAATATATGAACTATGTCCTCTATACCGACTATACATACGTTTTAAAAAATAAAAAAAATTGGATTTTAATATATGAGAACAATGCATTTTATATGAAAACCAGTATTCAGCAAACAACCTTGCCTGTGGTCTTCCCTCTATTTCTGTCTATGAATGACAAAACAATTTCAACCTTGGGCCTTGGGGAAACGGTACTAAAGTAATTGGTAATTTGGCGCGTGATTTAAAATATTAGGTTTATTCTCTGTATTATTGACATCAACAGCTGTTGTAAAAATTTTACTATTATAATTAGTACCTACCATTAATATTGCATATAATTTTCACAGCTTTGTTATATTTCAGATGTATGTATCTACATACATACATATTTTTTTAAATATGAAATAGTCATTATTTACCCTACTGGTGAGAATATGTACTATAGATTTAGGAGTTAACTAACTGCTTAATTAATGTTTATGCAACTGTCATTACCATTTCATGCCTTGAATCTAGTATGATACATAAGATGTGGACTTGGCTGTTTAAATGCAAGTTAACTTTCTAAAGATTTTTTCTATTATTAACACTAACATTAAATTTGTGTCCTAAACCTTTAAAACGGTTTCACATCAATTGGTTGCTTTGCACCGGATGGGAGGAAAATTGTAATACATTATTCATTTTTAACACATAAAGGCGTTGCATTTTCTGTACAAAAATTGTATTAACTGTAATTACATTTAAATTTCAGTAATTTTCAATTACTATGAAACAATTAATTCAGCCCCTATTTCAAATTTAACTTATTTACACTATTAAAATAGCTTAAGGTCAATTTTGCAGATTTAAAAATATTTCATCTTCTCGTAGATTAATCATCTGTCAGTGCCTCCTGATTATATTACACAAGTACAACACACATAAAGTACTTACAATAATTTAATGAGGTTTTTATTTATTAAACTTCCATACATTTTAGTTTTAAATTAAATTTTACATCGAATTTACAATTCAAACTAAATGATATAACGTGCTTTTAAAATGATTATATAAAACTGGATAGATATATGGAGGGTTCAGAAGCCAATCAGTGTAAGTCACTGAATATAGAAAATGAGAAAATTGGCTAAGTATTTGTAAAACTTGTAATAAAATAAAAATTCCCGTAAAGATACTACTAATAATAATTTTTATTGAGATATAACATTTCATACATACATTTGAACTTAAAGAAGAAACCTTCAATACGTCACGAAAAGTGACTTACACTGATTGACTTCTGCGCCCTCCATATATGAACATTTTATTGAACTACCTTTTTTTTAGTTTTTTTTATGTCTAAGAGCATAATGAACAGAAAATTAATAAACATAATTCATTGTCAGTTCTACGTTGGTAGGTCTACATTTTATTATATTTGTGTCCTGCAACATAGTCATACGTAGGTCGCTCGGTAAGTCTTGTTGTTCCACTATAAAATGTTACGGTTTTTCGAAGTATCTACCGTCACTTGTTACAACTTATGCATACGCTCAAACCAGTAATTCCATTTCTCTTCTGAGATGGAAGCACAACATTCGTCCCAGGCAGCTAAAATCTCATCAGCTGAAGAAAACTTGCTTCCTTTTAAAAAATTTGCGATGAGCAGGTGCATTACCATGATGGAACAGCAGTTGGCATTTTGCATTACAAACTTTGCGTACTTTCAGATGTAAATTTTTTTATTTACTGGTCAATGTAGAATGTTAATTCTCTTTATATGTGATTCGGTAGTCTTCAGAAATTAATTTTTAATCAGCGGCTATTGTTTCGGGTCCAGACACGGATCGTCCTCTAATTCAAAAATGTGGCGCAATGTCACCCAATATACGTTTCAGTTCTTCGTGGTACTGTTGACGATTCAGCTCAGGACCAAAATTATAATAAATTTTCACGCGAATTTGAGAATTTGGAAAAGACGCCATACTCGCACCGTTATGCCCTGTTTATACGTCAATGCCTAACAAGTTTTCACACGTAAATATTAATATGAATGTACTATACCTAGATATAAAAATAAACAGTTTAGCTTTTGATATTGTGCCGAACGACAAGACTCACTGAGCGACCTATGTATATGTACAATAAATAAGTAAAAATTATGAATGAAAAATCAAAAAAAAATTACTACACTAATTAAGAATGTTTGTCTTCAAATATCACATAAAATCTAATGAAATTTTTGTTCATTTGTAATTTAACTTTTAACTGAAATTGTAAAACACTTAATTTAAAAATTACAAGTTTTTAAAAATCCAATACGGCTATAAAATTTGAAACTCCATTATCGTAATGAAGAATAGATTTAATTAATTAAAAATATATTAATCTATTCAATCTATTTGATTTTATTACATACAAAAGATATATAAATTGGTGTTACAACGAAGAATATTTACCAAAACAATTCCTAAAAATAATGAACAAAAATATTAATAATCTGCATTTACAAACTTTTTTCATGGTACCAAACACGTGCTAATAACAATATCAATAATTTTTTTTGAAAATCATAAAATTTATAAAACATACTAACAGTAAAGTGGTCCTTAGTGTTTTAATTCCTGCACTACCCCCTACGACTTCTAAAATTGCATACATAACTAAACCTTTAAACACGAGCGCTCAAAGGATATAGTGATAATTTATTCAAAAAGAGTGTTTATTCTAGTCTACTTTACTCTTGAATTGGTTTTCGATAATATATTCCATTTGTATATCTTCATTTAGTTTCTTAGCTAAGAAGTACAATTCTGCTAGAGCTATAGTTAAAGCACATATGATGCCAAGTAGAAGTCTAAATCCAAAATCTAGACTTCCAATAATTAATTCTACGCCTATGAAACCAAACGCAAATCCTGCAGCTACCGATACAATGAACTGGAATATCGCCACGAGGTGCCTGTTCATCTGTTTCACTAAAATAAATAAATAAATAAATAATCTCAATATTATAAATAGGTAAACATTAACTACATAAAAACATTCATAAATGATTTTTTTTTTCCAAAATTTTATACTAAAATTGATATTTGTTATAGAAACCACAACATTAAACGATCTATTTCTTAAATAAACTTCAGTTTAGTTTTATTATGTGTTCCTTTAGTAGCAATGTTTATAGGAGGGTTGCCTTTTATATTTCAAGAATAGAGAACAAAAAAAAGAAATTAATTAATCGTATATGGCTTTATTATTTTTCAAAATATTCTCCACGAAGATCAATACACGTTTTCATGAGCCTGAACCGATTTTCGAAGCACTTTTTTCATTCTGATTGAGGTGCCTCCAAACCATGCATTTTGAACACTTCTTCAAGCGTCAAAAAACATTGACCTTATAATTTATTTCTGTGTGGGAATAAAAAAAGTCATTGACTGCCAAATCAATGTTGTATGGCTGATGACGCATCAATTCAACTTTTTCAGTTCTCAAAAAGTCGAATTAAGTTCATCGATGCACTGTTGCATAAATACTGTACGGAAATGTTCACAACTTAATTCCATTTTTTGGACGAGATGAACTTTTCAAGTCACTATATTAATATATATAGTGGCTGTACATCAAAACGTTCTGAGTAAGTATACCGACAAAAAGTCGAACTTTACGAAAGGAACGTCCGTTGTCAGACGGCAGCACCAGGATCGTCCATTTTCAAAATATAAAAGGCGACAATCGTATATTGAATATGTTAACACTACATCTACAAAGAATAATAAGTATGATTAAAAAATTAATAATAATTAATAACTACAAGTTCCTTATGTCTCTTTAAAATCACTATAATTATTAAACATACCATGATAACCAAAACTATCTTCTGGCAGTTTCCTTTTAGTACTGTCCACGTTTTTGGTCATTCGATGATAACTTTTGTTTTCCTGTTGTGCCTTCAGTCGTTGACACCTCTTTTCCAATTCTTCATTCCTGGGGATCTCTTGATTTTTTGGTAGAATTATATGCGATCCCTCGATTAGTTCATGTAGGTATATTTTATCATCTTTATTCATATTTTCTTTTTGTATGTACCTGTAGAGCCAATGCAAATCGAATAAACTTAATAATTTATCGCTAGTGCTAACTGAAGAACTTTTCAAAGGCAACTTTGTGAAAATATCCTCTTTAGATTCTACGTTAATTGATTTTATGAAATTTCTATCTTCCTCTGTAATTAGATAATGAATATCAGTTACATTTTCCACTGCGGCTTTAATTTTCTTCTTAAAAATGAAATTGCTAATGCCGTGCGGTATATCTCCACTAACTTTTAAATTGCTAATGTAGTTTTTAAATTTCTGGGAAGGTTGAATGAAAATTGAGGGGTTTAAAATTTGAGCAGTGTTGGTGGCCATTTTGTTTATTACACTAGAAGTTTTTTCTCAAAATCGTCATACAATTTCCGAAGTTCTTCTTCTTTCACCTCAAAGGAGCTATTTATTTCTGAATATTTTGCTGTGACACCATCCATAAAAGCATCCCAAACAATTTTACGTTTGTGCCTTGTATCTTCAATCGTGGCGTCCTGAAAGTTTTTAGAAATAACTTGTATCATATTATACATGCATCAGTACAAATAAATTTAATTATAAATAAAGTGATATCTTCATTGTGATGGTTGTCTATGTAGAATGTGCTCATTTAGTGAAGTATTTTATAAATTTATAGGTTCATTTCTAATTTACTACATTAAACAATCAATACGGTAAATACATATAACATATGATATAAAAATAGCTACCTATTATTTTTATCTGTGTACAATAAAATTTAACGTAATACTGTGTAGGTTGTACTATTGTAAACATAGTAAAAACTTGCTTTATAATATGAATTCTAGTGGAACACAAGTGTTTAAATATGATGCAATGTTTCAATATCGTTTTAGAAGCAAATGAGGTATGTAGGTATATTTATTATACTTTGTAAATAACAATTACTGATTACATAAATAAATTTTCTATTTACCTGTTTGTATGTTTCTTCTAGTCCACCGAAACAACTACAAATGTCCAATGCTTGTGCTAAATCTATGTTAGCTTTATTTAATGCCTGATCTCCAACTTGTTTACAGCGTTCAATTTCAGTGTCTTTTATCTCAGTAATATTTTCTATAACACGAAACAAATTATCGACTTCTCTATCTCCTCGCTTTTGCTAAAATATAATACATTGATGTAAATACTACACAACAAAAATATAACCTCAAAGATGTGTACCTCGAATTCACGAACCATGAAATTTATTTCCCCAACTAAAAACCCTTTGTGATCGAATAGTCTGTCCCACACTTTTCCTGTATCTGTAAAGAGAACAATAATTATAAAGGATGCCTTTTCAAAAATAAAAATTTTTAACCGCACCCTTAAAGATGTCAGACATCTTAATTCACATGACTTCTGACTTCTGTCGATGTAGCAACTACAAACAAATGTAGCAACTATAAACAAACAAAATAAAAGACCCGTTTGAAAACAAACTATAATTAGGGCCTTCAAAAAGATCTATGTAATTAGTGATACACAATTTATTTTTTATAACTATGAAGAATAGAAATTATAAACTGTTTTTATTGTAGCCTACTTACATCACAAAATACTTTCGAATTTACAGGACTTGTTACTACCGTACACTAAGTGCTTGTCAATTTTAACCGTAATAATATATTGACATAAATATAAGTATTATTTATTGATATAGTATTAATAAGAAATAAAAAATTTATTTACCAAAATTTAAACTTTATTGATTAATATAGATAACCATGATTTTGAGTGCATGTATATCTGGTTGCCTAGTTATGAAATTTCTACTGCGCAGAGTCTGCCATTGTGATAAATTGAAACATGAGAGCGATTTGGTGATAAATGTAAAGGCACTACTATTTATTTTCCTTGTGGGTTTCGCACAAAACTGTTGGTATTATGTGAGAATGTAATAAAAGTGATCAACAATCTCGGACTTTGCAGAAACAATGCATTATATCAATAAAATGTTAATTTTAATGGGTATGCAATAATAATACGTGTTTTGAAATGGTTTGACTATAGTGCAGTGATGGTGAATCTTGTTTATCTGTTACTGGGAGCTCATACGAGCTGTTTCGTGTAAACTGATGCTATTTTGACGTATTTTCTGATTACAATACATCATGCCCACTTTAATCGGAGTTAATGAATTTGTAGAGGAAACTAGAGATGACTACAATTCTCCTATTACTTCTACATTCGTATCCCGAATGCAACAATGTAGGAACACCATTACCAATTTGGAAGAGGTAAAATTAAAATCATCAATCAATATACTTTCCCTTTTACTACTACTGATTTTTTTTATTTCTGTAGTTTAACCAGTACTTTAAAAATGAATCTTCAGTATTATATATTTTTTTGTTTTTTAATATTCCCTTCATTATCAAAGCAATAGTTACTTTTGGCTGACTCTCAAAAATTACTGTTTACATATTTGTAAACATATATTTTTAGATTTTAATGCTTAGTATCCGTGCTAGTCTTTATCACAGGATATGGAAATTTGTACGTTACTTCCACAAGGAAATGGTATGAATATAACTTTACTGCAAAGCCTGTTGTACTAACCTAAGCCTCTTCCGACCTAGATCTAAAAATCATTAAACTCACCAGACTTTTTATATAAATTCAACATAGTCCAAATAAGAAAAAGGAAAGTTATGTTATTGCTGTGTACTTAATTTAATTCACTTATGTGGCTTGGAACATGTCTACATGTTATATTTTTGTTTAATATACTTAGGTATTAATGTTGGATGTTTATTAATCTGGATTACATTGAAAATATACAGATTGTTTATTTTGGTATACTTCAAGCACAATTTAAATGTAGGTATATATTCTCATTTTCTGTGTAGGTATATATTGTCGTATTTTATTTGTTGTCTTTCGATTGATAAGTTGAAGGAGAATAATACTTAGTGGGATATAACAATTGTAATATTTATCACTTATAATTAAGCATGATAGCTCTGATATTAAGATAAGTGGTGTAAATGTACTTATTTGCATCTTCTAAACAAATTACTGGTGTCATTTTGAGGCTGATCGTTAATGTAGGTAGTTGCTTTTAATTAGTACAGTTGTACCTTAAATTATATTTATGCAATTCATTTTGGATTACATAATTATGAAACCATATCAAATTGATTTGATTGTCCAAAATATAAATAATCATTTTTATATCTACCAGGAAAGATCGTACCTAGGTCAGATTAGTGTTTGTCCATTTTAAAAAATACCTGCAGATTCATTCTCTCTTGACTTATTGGAACTGGAAACTAGTACTGTGTAATTACCAATATTAGAAATGTGATTAACTCGATTTCTGCCGTGTTAAAAATAATAACTGATCATTTATCTAATTTAAACGATAATTTTAACTGTTAGTTACTCTACTTTTTAAATCTAATATCTTTTCTTTTATATATTTAAATGTTATAAATCTATGAAGCAATGCAGGCTTGCATATTGGTTGAAATATTCTTAGAATATTATTGAATTGAGTAAATGTTTTTTAAAGATAAACACTAATGTTCATATAATTGTTTGTTTAATATTCCATGTATGGTTAAAGTTATATTTTACCAAGAAAAAAATATTGAATATTTTTGTAGACTATATAAGAAAATTCTAATAAGATACGTAAGTAGTGTTCAGTTTATAAAAATAGCAAAAGCAATAGTACTTCCGTTTTTAAATATATCTGGCTAACAGAAGATTTTAATTTAAAAATAATCTTCCTCTGCGCATTCTCATCTGCTGCAGGTTAGTCAAGAAGACATTGAAAAGACGTGATTGTTTCTACATTCAACGTGGGAATATACCTACGAAACTAAATAAAAACAATTAGCGAACCTACGCATTATTATTGCTTCAGTATTGCATAAACTTTTGCAATAATTCGGAAAAATGTAATGCTGCCATTTCGCATGACCCGGTTTTTATCTGTTTTTAATTGTGATTGAAAATAAAAAGTTTTCTTTCTATGGTCTTCATTATGTCAGTAAGAAAAATATACAGGAAAAAATTTAATAATTGGAAACGGTAATTCAGTATCAGGGAATATCGACAATTAAAATTATGTATAAAAGGAAATCTAATAATACGGAAATTCTAGGGTTCCAAAGTCAATTTTATAGGCTTTTAACTTCATACGGTTTTAGAAGTGCCTCAAAATGTCTTTGCAGCAAAGGATACGCATTTATAGAACATTCAATAATGTTGCATCAATATATTTACAGTATCGCCTAACTGAAACGTCACTAAAAGCTTTAAATATTTTTTAAATTTGAACTTGTATTAAACGTAATATTATTTTGTTTAAAAATTACAGATATACACTATGATTAGATTTTTATTTTTCACATTAACAAAACATGTTTTCTATATCTGTATACATGTATGTACAGCACTGCTTTTCAACCGTGTACGTCATAAAATGTGAGGAATGAAACCATTCAGGTATAGATTGTTATTCCCGATGCCATTATAACGATCACAGTTGATTCTTCTACCCATTTCAGATTCTCAAATCGACAGGTAGAATATATTTTAGTAATAATAATAAACCAGAATTGTACCCACATTCTTATGTTATAAAAAAATATTTTTCGATTTCTGAAATTATTACATAATATTAATATTATTATTAATTAATTAATATTACAGTGCTTGTCAATGTTTTTTTTTTAAATTTTAAATAAGGGACTGACATGATAACCAATAAGTAAAGAAGACATTAATAATTTAAAATGGTATAATTATTGATAAAGAGTTTACAATTAGATCAAACGGAAGTTTATTTAACTAAAATTTTAATGAAAGTTTAATTAACACTGGACGCTGACTTGATTTTTGAAATTGTTTAGTACATGAACACCCTGTATGCTATTAGAGATACCTGTTGAACATAGTCAGGTCACAATCGGTCCAGGAAATTTCACAGGAAGCGGTTAATTAATTTGTCTGTTGAATGACTCCTACACAGTCGGATGAATATTAGCGGTATTGTGGTAAAAAGCATAAAAATAAGTATAATTTGTTCAGGTAAAGTTGTATATTTTGCTTCCCGACGCAAACGAAACGCTGAGTAGTGCCGGGTAGATTTTTTTTAGGATTCAGTAAGTTTGTTTTGAATTAATGCACCTGTGAAATGTTAATTTTAGAAGTATATTTAAATGTATCATATATTGATTGCATTGTTAAATTTCGACGTGTATGTAACGTTTATAACATAAATTCTCGAAATACAAACTAAATCTGTTGTTAATAGAAAGCTATTGTGCAAAATCTTAGTGTGTCATAAATGTCAACCACCATTTAAATCCATATCTGTTTCTCTTAATCTTAAATGGCCCGATAAAAAGTAAGTACTAAATTTAATGAGCATTTATTTCATTGGCTTTCATAAGGATTTGATTTTTGTTTGCAACTAATTCTCCTTAGCTTTTATGTGATCTTTTATATAATGAACGAAAAATGTATTGGTTTATTTAATGTACCAGGCAGTCTCTTAAATCTGATTTAGGAAACTGAACCGGATATGGTACCTTGGAAGTTTCTAATTAGATTGGATACATAATACTCAGTAACTCGAAGAGTATCCTAAATTAGATTTACTTGTTTCGTAAATAGATGTCCCCCTCCCTCCAAAAAAAAAAACAATGTTCTTTATTTTTTTTTAAGAAAGAATAATAAATACTGTTAGGAACAGAGTTATTTTGATAACATTTTAATGCGTTTCGTGTAGAATAAAAAAACAAGGATTTAAAATTAGTAAAAGTACATATTTTAAATGAGCTATCATTACTAAAACGCCCAAGGGGCATCAAATCTCGCAACCTGAATTCAAGCGTTTATATAATAAGCTAATAAAATATTCCAAAGAAAGTAGACAGGTTATATTTTTTAAATCACTCTCGCGAGAGCCGAACATGTCTGACAATGAGTCACCATTGAATGAATGCTGCAATTTTCAGTACCTTTCGAGAAAAATAGTTATGTACTACCTGTTATTATCCGCGGTTATGTGTAGTAATCGTCATGTAACTCTCACACTTTAAATATGATTATAAGTGGAACATTTTTTATTAGCTTAAAATTGCTAATATCACCTGACTTAAAATGAAAAGAGTTATTATGTGCACATGTCTGTTTAAGGTGTTAAATGTCGGTGTTCTTGAAAACTATCGTCTAAATACCACCCTTTTTGTTGCAGACTTTGGATTATGATAGAGATGGGTTGACCAAAATGAAAAAGGCTATAAAGGCCATACACACGTCAGGGAACTGTAAGTATTTTTTTTATTCGCATTTAATTAACAAAACGTTCGTTTGGTTTACTAGTGGCAACGATTTTGCGCAGTCGGGCAAGTTATACGCGATTAACTTGTCTTGTGTTATTTACCTCGGTTTGCATCGTGCCAACAATTATACTAAATAGGTAGCAAATCGTGCATGAGTCATTGATTATGATACAAATGTATGAGTTTTGTGCTCTAAAATTATACCGGGTGTTTATTCGAAAACTTTGTTTTGACCCAGATAACCGTTAAATTAAATTCTCTTTGAAATGGTGATACTTAAAATTTAATGGCACATTGAATTAATTAAATTTCGTTTGTATCGTGCAGCTTTTACTTTTTGTATGGTTGGTTACATTATGGAAACGTTGTTTACTGTTTAGGAAAAATAACAAAATGTAAATTCCACGAGTTGTAATATCTGGTTGAAACTGAAAACTTCCGATAAGAATTTCCTCCAGCGCCTTGCTGAGGCAAGTTCTGTACAACCTTTAAAGCTTCTAGTTTATTTAAAATATCGATTTTAATGTTCGTCTAGCCGGGAATGTCGGGGGAAGCTATGATATTTCTGAACAAATACAAAATTTAATATTCCACTTTCCACTTTCCGGCATCCAGTATACAAACTAATTGCAAGTCATTTGCTTACAATAGATTATCGATTTTATTCGTGTAGGGTGTTTTTACTTCAACCCCAATCATTTTACAAAAGCATATTTTTTATTTTAATCAAGAAAATTCGAAAAGTTCCTTATATAAATTATATTTATTTGATCTAGTTTTTGTTAGGACAGTATCGCAATGAGAGCATTTACTGTGTATTTACAATTATTAATTCATATAATGGTGTTAAACGTACTAGTTTTTTAATTCCATATATATGCGGTGTTGATATTTTGAAGGCTATTACCACATGTCTACTTAATGATAATAAATTTGCATATATATCGTATACGAAGGCCGAGGGTTTTATTGCACATCTATCATATATGCACAAATAGACTTGGCAAATATTGTTTTAATCAGGAATCATTCGATTTAACGACCAATAATCTAATGTCACAAATGATAATAATTGTCCCGTATGATTAAATTTACACAGTTCATATACCTGTATGTTTTTAAAAATGTTTCCTCTTGCAAAACGCTTTCATCCGCTCTATCCAGAGTTACCTATTTTAGTGTTCATAAGATCCATTATAAATATTGGATTGTTCAGCATGGGCGATCACTTGTTATATTAAATTTACGATAAATATTTATATTACATAATAAATGTCCAGATAACATATGCGTTCGTGTTACGACATAGGTGAACATCTGTCATTGAAATTTTTAAGTAATGTGGATACGTAAAATAATTTAGTTTTTTATAAGAGTCCTCTGTAGTTTTTAAATTAACCGGTATGAGAAGGGGAGTCAAAATTGTCATTAGGAACACATATATGCATTTCGGGAAGGTCTGACCACTACGCGAATCTTATCTATGTATGATAATGAACTAGTGATTGTCATGTTGGTTCTCAACGAAACATTTTCCTGTTTTAAACCATTGTTAAAAATAACTTGCCGGAGATAAAGGAGTAAACACGCTAGTAAATGATTCAGTTATCTGCCTGTTTTGTACGAAATGTTGAAAATAAATTACATTTCGTTTATTACTCAGAGACTCCGTCTTTTATATTTTTTAAACAGATAAGGAAATGCCAAGAAAAAAGCGTGTAATTGTTAGTTTTAAATGAATTGCGTTTCTTCAAAATTGCATGTACAGGGTGTAGAATAAAATGGATTCGGTTCATAACTTTCGTATTTATTAAACTATGCAATAATATGAACTATTTTTGTATTTACTACATTTTATTAAAATATATTGTATACCTATTTATAACTAACTTATTCTACTTATTATACATTATAAAAAAAGTTTACATTTTTTTAATGGGAACAGAAATACTAGTCTGGTTTACCTATTCGGCTCCAAGGACTTATAGTCATTATTATTAGTGTTCTATTTTTAATGGGTTTCTTCACCTATTTTTAAACGTAAAGTTTATTTTCTTCAACCCATGTATTTTAAAATCGTTTAACGTAAAAAAAATCCGAAACGAGTTTTACTCAGAATATTTCCACTTATTTAATACGCTGATTTGTATATTTAATTATCCTAAACAATAACTTCGTTTTAATATATTTTTCAGAAGGCTACTAATTGTATTAATGTTAAACGTAAACATATTTTAATTAATTAGTGTCTTGTAGAGAATAACTGATGTTTTTACCATTTTGATAACAAATTATGGAAAATTTATCTTTATTGTACATTCTTTTGTATAAAGCAACTTAAAATATTTTGATAACTAAAGCATTTGTCCTGTCTATTGCCTATGCGTTTTGAACTATCCGACGCTTGCCAATGAACATGAGGCTTGGAACTTTTGAAGGTCAGGAACTAATTCCTACCAAGTGAAATATTTGTGTAGTCAAGGACATACTAGTGTAGAGATATTTTTATTTCAAATGCAACTTCAAATTTTGTGACATGTTATCGCAACGTTTGACTATAACCGACGAAAAATGTAACTACCCAGTACACTCGCGTAAATGCCACCTTGTGTGAATCATTCTTGAGCATAGTTAATGCCAACTAGACTTTTTAATATTCATACTCATAATCGGTATTTCATTTTCATAACCATATTTTATATTTAACTTATAAATAATTAAAAGTTAATTGTTGATCTATAGGTGTTTACAAAACGACTACGTGATAAAAAAATAAATACCACGACGGGATGCCAAGGATCTTGATCGAAAATGGTGTATTACACAGAATACCAGTCTTAAAAAAAGGGCACGTGTAAATTCAATTATTTATTGCTATTGGTCGGTCATGTAGATGTCCTGAGCATAATCCAACAGATATTTTAGCCATCACGTTGAGAAAAATTAAAATTAAATATTTACAAATTTTGTATTATATCGTATTAATTCGTAATATTTAAGTGTGTGTATGTATCTAAACACTATCAGGTGTGTGTGATATTTGTAAATTAAATTTTGTACGTTGCGTTGTATCCGTGATAATCTCGGTTTCCTCCGCAAAGCTGAATTTGTTTTGTGTTTCTACATCAACGGTTTTAAATAAAATACACTGTTGATATAGTATAAACAGACATAAAACAAGGCTGTTTCTAATTTTATTTTACATTTAACCAGCCAGTCCTTCCACTAATTGCTACCAACATGTCATTGTACCATGGTTGTAAAAGTTTGTAAAATTTTCGTATTACCGCTATTGAAAACATTTTTTTACGTACTCACGACGTGGGTTCACACTGAACTATAAAATTAAGTAGAAAATGGTAATTTCAAAAGAGCAGGTAAAAAGTTATTTGGCGTGGGTGCCCAGAACTGTTTATATTAATTCCATGTGGATAAGGTGAAATAAAAGACAAATTTGTTGTAGGTCATGTGGATAACGAGTCCTACCTAGTGAAGGCATTAGAAAAAATTGGGCAGAATGCTATGACAAAGGAACACGAGGACACAATAGGTAACGCTTTTATAAAATTCGCGGTGGTAACGCAAGAGTTGTCCGCTCTGATGAAAACCCTGATGCAAAATTTAAACAACATCGTCATGTTCCCCCTAGACAGTTTATTAAAAGGCGATCTGAGGGGAGTTAAAGGGGATCTCAAGAGGCCCTTTGATAAAGCCTGGAAGGATTACGAGAGCAAGTACGCCAAAATCGAAAAGGAAAAAAAACAACAGGCGAAAGACGCCGGCCTGATAAGGTCGGAAATTACCGCTCCTGAAATAGCGGACGAGATGGAAAAGGAAAGGCGATTATTTCAGCTTCAAATGTGTGAAGTAAGTTCATGAATAGTGTAGATTTATTCTAGAAGTGGTGCTGTCATTTATACCAACGTCTATCGTTTTCAACACATTTATTGTACCTACATAATAAACAATCGAAGTTCCGTCATGCTTAGCAGTAAAAAAAAAATGAATTTTCAAAGTGGGCGTGTCCCAGTTGGCCGATTCACTTTTAAATTTTTTAACCCATAGATCTCTTATTCCTTTGATATCAATCAATTGTATGAGAATCATTCAATCAATAACTCTAGTTAAAGCATTACAATTTTTATGATTGAGCTGATATTTCTCTTAAAAAGAATATTGGTGAATCAATAATTGAACTTCCTGATATACAGAGTGGTCCCGAGGTAATTGACCAAAATTCATGGATAGATTCCCGAAGCAAAAATATTGCGATTTAGCCGAACTTACCTTAGTCCAAATCTTGATAGTTAAAGAGATACAGGGTGTTAAATGTAAAATATTATTTTAGTTTATTTCCATTTATTTCTTAATAAATGCAAATATCTACACAAAATTTTGAGGTTTGTGGTTCTTTGGGTAGAGGATTTGAAATTTGTTTACATTTTGGTTATACTTCATAGAGGGCGCCAGCTGCCGTAGATTGAATGTGTTGAAAACGACATAATTTTTTTGTACTTTAAGGTCTCATCTTTGGTATAAAATTCTTATTATCCAACTTTTCTTACACAAGAAAGACACACTTTATGAAAGTAGTTGTCTCGCACCGTTTCTGAGATATTTGACTTTGCAACTTCCAATGTCAAAAATGTCAAAAACAAGGGTTTATTTAGAATTAAAAATTGTACCGAACAGTAAAATAGTAAACATTAGTAAAAAATATGCCTTTGTGGCAATAATTGCTCAAAATGTCCACCTCTAACTTCAATACATTTATCAATGCGCTTATTAAAAGACTTAAAGTATAAATCCTTAACGCGAAATGATATTGCAGCATTTAAAACCTGCTGCTAAAGTTCTTGTCAGGTGTTTATAGTTTCTCCATAAACAACTGACTTCATGTAACTCCAAAAACGAAAATCTGCAGCTAGCGCCCTCTATGATTTAACCAAAATGTGAACAGATTTCAATTCCTCTACCCAAAGAACTCCAAACCCCAAAATTGCAGTGAGGATATGATATTTGCATTTGTTAAGGAATAAATGAAAAAAAAACATAATATTTTACATTTAACACTTTATCTCTTTAACTATCAATTTTGGACTAAGGTAATTTCGGCTAAATCACAATATATTTGTTTGGGGAATCTACCCATGAATTTTGGCCTATTACCTCGGGACCGCCCTGTATAATGTATACTAATAATATTCAAATAAAAAAATCAAAATTACTAATACTACTACTTTTGAATTATTAATTTAAAACAATCAGTATATTACTGTTGTCAAGATATTAACATTGTATTTTTTTTAGTATCTAATAAAGTATAATGAAATAAAAACAAAAAAGGGAATAGACTTGCTACAAAGCTTAGTAGAATATTATCACGCTCAAACGAAGTAAGTTGGAAAAGTACATACCCTTTCCAACCCTTGAAATCTATGAATTTGTTTTAGTTATTTTCAAGATGGACTCAAGACAATAGAACACTTCGGTAACTATGTAGCTGATCTTAGTATAAAATTACAGAAAATTCGCCAAGCTCAAGACGAAGAAAAAAGGAAACTGTGCGATTTAAGGAATCTAATCAAATCTACGCCTAGTATTGAAAAAGAGGTAAGTTTCACAGGTTTTGTACCTAAAATACGACCTAATCGAGATGTATCTTTAGGTGGGTCCTCAAATAGATAAAGGAGCAGCAGGGTATTCGTTACATCAACTACAGGGTGACAAACATCATGGTGTCACTAGGACCGGACATTTACTGAAAAAATCGGAGGGGAAAATGAGAAGAGTATGGCAGAAAAGGAAGTGTCGGGTACAAGCGGAAGGTTATCTAGATATCTGTCATGCCGATGAAAGTAAACCGCCAACTAGAGTCAACCTGCTCACTTGTCAGATCAAAATGGTACCAGATGACAAGAGAGGATTCGATTTAATATCATGTTAGTGGATAATTCCAATTTGTTTTATTTTCAAATGATTTAATAAATTTTTTTTGCAGATAATAGGACGTATCATTTTCAAGCCGAGGATGAGGCAGACCAGCGGGCATGGATGTCAGTATTAATAAATTGTAAAGAGATGGCTCTGATGAAGGCTTTCGACGATAGTAGTAAAACGGGTGGTGATAAAGTTAATCATAGTTTTATGGAATTACAGCAAGCTATTATAAAATATATCCAGAAAATCCCTGGTAACGATAGGTGCTGTGACTGCAATTCTCAAAATGGTAAATACGCTTTTTGTGATTTCGATATTGAAATTGATATACTCGTATGTTGGTGACTTTAGATGCCACGTGGCTATCAACGAATTTTGGTATTATCGTTTGCATCGAGTGCTCCGGGATTCACAGGGACCTGGGGGTCCACATTAGCAGAATACAATCCTTAACCTTAGATAACGTCGGAACTAGTCAGTTGGTACTCGCACGCTTTATGACGAACCATATCTTTAATGATATTATGGAAGCTCAATTGTCACCTAATGAAAAACTTGAACCGTCCAGTTCAATGTAAAGCCAAGTAATTTATTAAAGTGAACATACTTACATTTTATTTATTTTAGGGAGGAAAGACTAAATTTTATTAGGGCTAAATATGTAGATAAACGTTTTGCCGTTAAAACTTGTCAGTCCGAACGGGAAAAAATGTACGAACTCGAAGAGGCCGTTAATAGGGGCGATTTGCAGTTACTGCTTCAAACGTTTGCCGAAAACGTTGATTTCAGCGTCACATTGCCTTCGTCAGTAAGTAAAACGACGCTTTAATTTAAATGGTTTCTAACACTTTTTTTTAGAAAATCGGCGAAACTGCACTACACAGGGCTATTTTGAACGAATCCGGTCGTACATTGCATATCGTAGATTTCCTAATCCAAAACATGTCGAATTCGGCTATAGATAAACCGACCAATCCACCTTCAGTCGCTGAGATCTGTGGATCGAATACAGCTCTTCACCTGTGCGCTCTGTACGATAAGGTAGAATGCATGAAACTGCTGCTTAGAAGCGGCGCAGATGCCAATTTAAGGAATTCGCAGAATAAAACCCCAATGGACATAGCGCAGGAAATGGGCAATAATAGTTGTCAGGAACTGGTAATACTTTACTGGTGAAATTTGGAAAGAATTGATTTACCGACCGTTTCTTCTTTTAGTTGCAAAATGCTGCAAACCGATTGAAGAATTTCTTTGATAATATAAACATTGATTGGAACTTGTCCCACGACGATGGGTCCACGGATTTTTCAGACGACGAGACTATTATAGAAGATCGGGTAAGCACTTGCACAGTTCAGCTTGAACAATATGAAATATTTGCTATTTTACTATACAGTGGGCTGGATTACATGAAAATTTGGCAAAATTAAAAAAATTTGTATACTCAATAATTGAGAGGTCATTCCTAAGTTTTCAAACCCAAAATTAAAAAAATTGAAAATATTAAATTTTTGAAGAAATATGTAAATTAACAGTTTCGAAGCATCTTCTGAATATTTCAAAACAAAAAATTTTTAAAAAAAACAAAATGACGGAAGGAAGCAAATGTTTGGGATACGAAAAGCATCTGATTTCTGTGGAACTCGGAAATTTTAGGATTTTTAAGTCGCTTATAAAAATCTCAATAAAAAATTCAGAGAACTACAAAACAGCAGACTGGAAGTGAATATTTGTGTTACGAAAAGCATACGATTGTTGTGGAAGTCGGTAAAAAAAGATCCAGGCAATTTTTCTGAATTCTTTTTTTACCAAAATCGAGTTGGGCATTTAAACACCCATTACTTACATTACTTGTGAGTCACCAAGGACAAATAACCAAATGGAGAATGCTTATGTTTTCGGGGAATTGCTATATTTCGAGACTACACTTAAAAAAATGCCAATTTTTTAGTTTCCACAACCGGGCCTGTAGAGTTTTGAAGCAGATTCTTATCAATTTCGAATCGCAACAACATCTATACTTTAAAATGTTAAAAAGTCGAGGATCTCACACAATCAACTTTTCATATACTTTTTTTCAAATTATAAAATTGACACGCTCGCTAAAAATGCACACAAACAACCCTGTTTTGAACACGCAAAACAAAACTAAAAGCTAAAACGGTTTTCCTAGATTCTGATGTAAATCATTTTTTGTTCGAAAAAAAAACATTAGAAACAAGGAAATTTTGTGTTGGCATTCTCCGAATTTTCACGTAACCCAGCCCACGGTGTGTTGTGACTATAAAAATATTATTAATGTTTTCCTTTTGCAGAATTATAATACTTTGTTCAAATTGCAGAACGGTTCATCGACGCCCGAGAAGAAAAATCGTTCGCGCCCTCCTAGTTACACAGGTGGGGATTCTCCTATAGCTTTACGTTCACGTTCGTCTACTTGCGATAGTTTACAGTTAGGGAGTAGTCTTAATAGTATTAACAGACAAATGCCTCCTCCCCCTCCCCCTCAAACTAGAAAGCCAGGTAAAAATTATCTTTTCTCACTAGCCCACCCTTTTTTTCCTTCGAAAAGCATATGAAGCGAATACTCCACTTTGCAACCCAGATGCTTTTTGCGAGCATGATCCGCGTGATGTATTCAGGGAGAGGGGGAAGAAAAATATTTTCGTCGCGTGGGATATTCAGGACCAATGTTAGTAGCGAAGAATTTATGTCGCGTTTCGTGCAATACCCTGCTCACAACTTGAACATCATCAGTTTATTTCTGCTGCATGTCTGTGCCTGCTTTGAATGTGAATTCTGGTTAAATGTCTAATGCTACAGAAATAGAACTAGGCCCGGTACTTTGAATCTTGATTAAATAAAAATTTTGGACCGTTAAAATTTGATTCATGGATTTTGTACTTTGTTTCTTGTTAATCAGCAGTCGAATTTAACGAGTGGTATTCGTTATTTCGTTAATTCAAATTTGAATTTGGCAACGGAGAAACAGATGTTCTAATTACGCATATTTTTGTGGTATTTTGAAATGGGTCTCGATTTTGAGGACGTTTTTGAAGGTGACGACGACGAATTAATTCAATTTATTAGTGATCAGCGCGTGTATACAGTTCAAGATCGATATAATTTTTAAAAAATGGGATCAGGATTTTGTTTAAAGAAATTTTTTGCAACTTTTTGACAATTAGTAGGTAATTATAAGAAATTTTGTTCGAAACAAAGTCAAAACATTGTAACCAGTAATACATTTTTATAGATTTTATTACACAATTTGTCTATGTATGAATTAATGCACAAATAACAGACTTTCCCCCATTCTAACACAGATTTTCTATAAAATGGAATTAGTTTGAAACTCAAATTATTTTTTGTTGTAAAGAAATTTGTAAGTGACATGGTAAATTACAAATATCTTTTCGCCTAGCAAATGAAAAAAAAAAAAATGTAAAAAAATTCGTTTCATATTGAAACTTGGTTTAATAGTTAGTTTAGGCAAAAAGAAATAATATTTCCCAAAAAGTATCGGTTTAAAACAACAAGATCATTGTTTAAACAATGATTATAGTGTAAAAACAGGAGTTTTTGCTTTTGTTTATACTTATAGGTTTTCAAAAAACGCTTCATTTGAGACCTGCTAAATTAAAATCCATTAACAATTTGTTTAAATAATTGCAAAAAACCAGCGAAATTTGAATTTGCTATAAATAGAAGAAAACGGCATAAATCGTTTCTAAACTGCAGTAAAAATTGTATTTTGTTACCCTTGAGAAACTGAAAATTTTGTAAAAAAATATTTAATTGTTTACGAGTTTTGAAACAAATAGTGTAATTTGTTAATAAGGTTATTGGTTAATAACTTTGTGAAGAATTAATATTTTTTAAATCCGCTTTGATAATTGTAATCCTGGTAATTTTTCATGAATTTAAAAAAAAATTGTTCTAGGACCATTTTTAGCCGAGATAGCCTTTTTTTAAAATTTATAACTTGTTTATTTACAAACAAACCCTTAAACTTCATAATAACGGTTAAATATATCGAAAAAAAATGCATTTTATAGTAATTTATAACCCTTTAAAAAACGTCCTCGAATACATTTTTACACCTGGGATGTGGTGGGGGAAATAAGACGGAAATGTTTTAAAGTGGAAATCGAGACTTCAAATCTTAACTGCGCGAAAATTTTGCGATATCTCCGATAATTGTGGACCAATTTTCTTAAAAAACAATATTTTTATGTAAAAAATTCAGGAAATGACATTTTTTATGTATAAAGTTTACTTTAATGAGAATCGAGTGTTTTAATTTACTTACCTGTTTTAAAATATAATGGGTAATTTAATGTTAAAGAATAATACTACATATTATGCATATTACATCCAAAAACTCGATTTTCATTAAAATAAACTTTATACATAAAAAATATGTCATTTCCTGAATTTTTTTACATAAAAATTTTGTTTTTTAAGAAAATTGTTTATTGGTATCATTTTCAATAATTGTTTTTCGAAAAAATGCGAAAAAAAAATTTATTTACAAAATTAATAGTTTATAACCAATTCATAATTAACTATTACAAAATGGACCGTGCAGTTGTTATTATTTTCATGGGCTACCCCAGATTAAAAAAAAAAGCTTAAAATTGGTCCATAATTACTGGATATCACAAAATTTTCGGGAAGTTAAGATTTGAAGTCTCGATTTCACTTTTGAACATTTCTGTCTTATTTCCCCCACCACATTGTACATATTTAGACAAACTGTAATAAAATGTATAAAAATGTATTACTGGTTGCCTATTTGCTATAGAGTCCTTTTAAGGTTAGAAATCTCCCGTTTTATTTATGCACCTACCTTTGCAAACGTTTCTAGTCCAGCTTAACGATACAGAAGATTATGTATTATGATGATTATGATTAAGATGATTATTCTTTAATCAACATTTTTGATCAGGACTCAAAGTACCAGGCGTTAAAAACATAGCTAACCATAATATAGTGTCACATATTTCATTTTTTAAAATTATGACAAATTTAATTGGAGGACTAAAATGTATGTCGTCTTTAAGATTTGAATTTATTAAAAACCTGTTCCGATATTAGGAATTTGTGGTGTTTCCGTTATCTGACGCCGAGTTTATTGTCATGTTATTTCAGCGAATGTTCACGGTAGTCTCAAGAAGAGAATAGCACCTCTTCCTCCGCCAACAAGCCCGATGCAGTTACAGTACAGTACGTTACCTACAAGTCATAGCCGAACACCATCGGACCCTATGGCCGCCGGATATCATACCTTAAGTCATACACACAAGCGTTCACCTAGCAGCGATTCTAGTTCAGGGAGATCTGTGATACCCATAGGTGAGTTTTAAAATTGAACGGGATTTGTTTGTTCTATAAACGTTCGATTTGTCCTAGGGAACAAACTAGTCATGGCAGATTGCAAAAACTCGGATAAGTTTGCGTCGGTTAGAAGGCCTCAAAATCCTCCACCACCTGCTCCGAACCCTTCGTCTAGCCGTCTCTCTAACGGTCGTTCGACGGAAAGTATTTCGTCGATGGCATCGGACGTTGATGTCACTGGGATAATTCACAATCCTATTCCGCCACCCCGTAGAGTAAGTATAACTTTGATTACGTTTTAGTGAATCTTCCGTACGTACCATTCCAAACGGTTGTTAGGTTGGCCTGGGGGATTTGAAATTTAAAAATATTTTTTATTTCAAGCTATTTTAAATTGTCTTAGAAATAGAAAAAATTTACTCAGGTCGCCTAACTCAAATCCCCATGGCTTAAATGGTGTATTTATTACTGCCTGAGGCTTAATATAATTGTCAGTTTTTCGTTATACCGTCCGGGATGAATTGTGTACTAATGTCATAAATAGTTAATACAACGGGTGTTTTGATTAAAAAGGGAACAACTTTTGTTTCGTAAAAGCGTAGTATACATTTTGTCCATTTTATGTAGAAACACCCTGTATTTTGTGCTTGTATGGTTTGCAGAAGCGGAAGTGTCGTTTGGATAGTTTTACTGAAGATAACGATGTTTCTAGTCTGGTAAACATGTCGTGTGTCGAAATGTTTTTAATTTATTAATCGTGTCTGTTTTTTGTGCTTCGTTTTTTGTGCTAACATGTGACTTGTCGATAGCCAGATACTTTTTTCGCACTATTTTTAATTGTTCTTAAAATGACACAGAAAAGAGTTTAATTTCTTTACATAATTTAAAATTAGAAAGTCAAAACACTGGTTGGTCTGCAAAAATCAATTTAAATGCAGTTTTACGTTTATCGAATAATTTAAATTTTTAAATGCTTTATAAGCTCTCGATCATCTTTTGGTTTTTGCAGCAAACCAATTAGACCGTGGGCTAGCGCACGTGGGTGGACGGTTTTAAATAGCCAAAAGGGTGGTTCATAGGGGAGAACTTGCGAGAAGAAAAAAAAAATTTGTCGTTTACTTTTTGTCTGGCAATCGAAACAATGAAAATTTTTGTTATGAAAATTATAAAAATAAATTGCCAGACGGTTTCCAATGTTCGGAGTCGAGTTTCTCTATGTGAAAATTTTTCAGTCATCACTATTTGTCTGGTATCTCGAGTACCTAAAATTAATACCCATATTCCTTGTCGCAAAAAATTTGCCAGACAAATTGGAAAATGGAAAAATTGTGCCAGACAAAAGAAAATTCGTAAAAAATATATTAAAGTGTAAATGATTTATTTTTGTGTGGCATTTTGAATTTCAATTAGAAATATGCGTATAAACACAATATACAAATGCCAGACAAGTTGAGATGTTCGAAAATGTATAAATGAATTGAAAAGTTACAAAAAAATTAATGAAAACTTGTTTTTTTTTCTAATTTAAACGATTTATTTTTTTTTGGCATTTTGCATTACTATTGAAAATATATATTTATACTTCAGGTTAAAACGTCAGGCAAGTTGGGTTGTTCAAAAATTAAAAAAAAAAAATAAATTAAATTAAAAAGTTGCAAAAAAATTAATGAAAACTTCAGTGTCTTTTTTTTGTGTGGCAATTCATTTTTTAATAAAAAATACACTTACAAACTCAAATTAAAAATGCCAGACAAGGTGGACTGTTCGAAAATATATAAATAAATAAACAAAGTTGTAAAAAAATACAATTTCTCATTTTTTTTTCGACTTTTTCCCCTTTATATTATAAGCTGTAATTACTCGGGAAATATACTCAAGATACTATTTCCGACGTAAAATTTCCTACTGAATCTGATGCTGTCAACGGAAGTGACTTGCCTAGCCAAGAAAAGCTGGAAAATAGGAAAAACCTTTGTAAATTCAAATTTTAAATCATATTCGAATTAAGAAATAAAATTGCAGGAAAATATTATTAAAAACATGAATTTTAAATGAATAAAAGTGCTTATTTCAAAATTTTTTACTCCATAACTGGCTTATATCCAGTAAAATCACTGTGCTGCGCAAGCGTAGTTCCATGAAACACGTAAATGTATTTTCTATTAAAAAACGAATTGCCAGACAAAAAAATGATACTGAAATTTTCATTAATTTTTTTACAACTATTTAATTTAATTTAATTTTTTTTAAATTGAATGAATTTTTTTTTCTTGCAAGTTCTCCCCTATGAACCACCCTTTCGGCTATTTAAACCGTCTGTCATTTGAAAATTTTTAGGTACTTATTAATGTCTATTTTTGCATCAACTGCCAGACACTTTAAGAAGAGTGAAAAACTAATTATTTTATACAAAAGGAAATTAATTTTCCAAATTTTCGACTTAACCTTTTTCAGACCTCAAAATGCCAGTCATCGATGACGCCGCACCCATGTGCGCTAACTCACGGTCTAAATGTCGTATACAGCCCCTGCATGAATTTAACAATAATTTACAAAAAAAATCCCTTTGTGCAAATTTTACTAATTCCGAGTTTTTTAACTTCTCGATTCGAACGATAATGATAACGTTATTTTTTAGGCTTCTGATTCACCGCCACATAGAATATCTTCTAGTCCAATATCAACAAATTCTCTCTGTTCGCCACGTTCGATGTCCGGTAGGTTATCGTATACGTCGAACGGTAACACAACGCTGCGCAGATGTAAGGCATTGTACGATTGCGCGGCAGACAACGACGACGAATTATCGTTCCAAGAGGGCGAGATCATCATCGTCATAAACGAACATACCGACGATGATAACTGGATGGAAGGGATGGTGGAAAACGAGCCGGAACGGACCGGGATGTTCCCTATTAGTTTCGTACATATGTTGCCGGATTAGTAACTACTCAAGAGGTACTTGTATTCATGTAAAAAAGTATTAAACATATATTTTTGATGTAAATGGTCTAAGAGCAGAATGTAACACTGAAGGATGTTATTCGTACGACTTTTGTGATTTTACTTTTTGATGTACACCTTGAATTTATAAATGTATTCGTGTTAGGGAGGACATATTTTCTGAATATTTATAAGAAATCTCGACAAGGTATTATTAGGTGAATGTTAAGAAATTCGTCAACCTCGTGTTATAGCTCGATCTTTGAATTTTCCTAACTATCATCAAGGCTTGCAATAATACTCTTCCTTATCGGCAGTGTAGCGGAATCCATGTCGGCTGATTTTCCTATTATACCTGTATACCAACTCAGCTACTAACAGAATTTGGCTTTTACATTTGTTTTGAACAGTACTTGGATTTTTTATGTACATAATGGAACAAGGTTAATTTAATTTCAGACAAATTTGAAACAATCAGAAGTGGGGCGAAATAACCAGGAACAATTTTTTGTTTGTTGCGATTCCCCAAAAAAAATTATTTGATTTTTGCTCCCTTTTTTTTATTCTATTCCAATGAAATCTAGAAGGCTATGTTTTTCTAAGCACAGTTTCTTTAACTTCGAGAGCCTGTTGATGACAGTTAGTATTTTGAAGACACATTTATAGATGTCAACTAAAAAGCTGTTAAATGTGCACTAAATGATAAAGAATGTGTTAGCTTAAAAAAAATTTCTAAACTTCAAAAATGCCTTAGCCTTTATGAGAAAATGTTTACTACCAAATGTGAACTACCAGGATAGCATGTTAATAAAATGGATTATTTGTCCTACAACTAATAATTTTATTTGTATATAATTTGTAAACTTTTTAGTTTGTGTATATTATGATTATGATGCACGCCATAATAATTGTCATATATTTAGTTAAACTACATTGGTCTGCCATACATTAGATATTTATTTTTAATATCTTGTATTTATTTTGATATTTGTGTAAATATTATTTTTTTTTAACTACCGAGAGCCTGAAAGTAGATTGATTTGTTCCTGAGGTACCCTACTAAATTAAATCATCGCTCGTCTGTTCACAATAATTAATAACAGCATGTTTGTGTAAATAAATATTTTTCTAGTAGACATTAATTTATAGGAACGCCTGTTGAATGTTATTAAACCAAAGAGAAAAGTCTATTGCTTTTATACAGATATACTATTATTATATAGGTATAAAATCGCCAGTGTAAATATTAAGATAATTAAGGTTCATATTGTTAAGTGTTAACTATTTTTTCACTTCATTTCCTTATTTTTTCTTTATTTATAACTTGTCAGATATGCATTTAATAAACTTGGTTCGACCGAAGATATTTAATGGTCAGAAGTGGGATATTTTCTATATTACATCGGCATAAAATGTTCACAGGTAACGTTTTATGTTTTTTCAAAATCGGAATTGAATTTATTAAGGGCATACCTCGATAAATTACACAGCCACACAAAAAGAAAAATTGGCTGTACTTTCCTTGCGACATATGTTATCCGTAGTATTTTTGCCTCCTGATCAGGAATCCAGTGACATAATTGAGCTATCACATCACAGGATTTCCTAACCTCAAAAAACAGGTCAAAAATAGCACAAATTCACGAAAAAGTGCTAGGAAATATAGAATTTGTTTTTTCTATATTCAAATGTTCATTTATATGGTTAAGACCTCGCTGAACGTGAATCCGCGGTCAGAATTAATGGTTCTTTTTCTAATCTGAAAAAACGGGTCAATTAAGGTCAGCTATCACGAATTTTCAAAAAATAACATATTCGCTCCAAATTTGGTATCCAGGGGTTTTCGGGGTTGCTGATTACGTATTCGAGGTCAGAATTGCAAAATTCATTTTGTAATATTTTTCTTTACTTTATAACCTGAGTACCCAATCAGGATTTAACCTTTAGCTTTAAGCTATATCTTGTATTTCTTTCTGTAAAGGATCTATTCACGGGTTTTCTGCCTAATCTCAGGTAATAAAGTACATAGGTAATTGATTAAATTTTTTTTAAACGAATTTTGTAAATCTGATCTCGGATTCATGATCAGTGACCTCGAAAACTCTCGTATTCCAAATTTGGCGCGAATGTGTTATTTTTTTAAAATTTCGTCGGCCGCCATCTTGAATTTTGCAAAATTGATCTCGAATTCGTGATCAGCAACCCAGAAAACCCCGTATACCAAAGAGTGACCGCAAAAAACCTGTGATTTTCGCCCATTTTTTCACAATTCGCAGAGAATTAAGAAAAATGCATAAAAACATGTTTTTGTTCGCAAATTACTTGTAAAAAACTGAAATGAGCATTGCTTTTAGTATTTTGAAAATTTTAAAAATCACCCCTAGTGGTTGAAAAAATGCCAAAAATTAAGAATTTGAATACTACCAATTGATATAGAAACTATTAGCATGTAATTATCTTAATATACTTTTTTTTTGGAATTTTTACAATTCTAATATTCTCTATTTTTGGGGACGATTCAACCTCCCGAGGGCGCTTAAGGGTGGATTTTCTAATTCAACATGCTTATTTCAGTCATGAGAATAAATCTTTTTTTGTATCAAGAATCATTCAATAGAAAAATTCACTGCTAATAGTTTTTATATTTATTGGTAATATGTATTTATTCTTCAATTTGGGCGTCTTTTCAACTCCTAAATAGGGGTGTTTTCGAAAATTTTCAAAAAACTAAAAGCTATGCTCATCTTAATTTTTTACGAGTAATTTGAGACCAAAAATATTTTTATCTATTTTCTTTAGAGTAGTAGTAGAAAAAAACGGGCGATTTTTGCCACTGTCACTCTTTGGCGCGAATGTTATTTTTTAAAAATTTAGTCGGCCATCTTGTATCCGAAATCTTGAAATTTGCAAAATTTACCTTTTCACCGCGGATTTCCTAGCACTTTTTCGTGAATTTTTGCTATTTTTGACCTGTTTTTTGAGGTTAAGAAATTCCTGTGATGTGTTAGCTCAATTCTGACACCGGATTCGTGATCAGGAGGCAAAAATACTACGGACAACATATGTCGCATCAAAAGTACAGAAAATCCTAAAACAGTGGTTTTTAAAACATGCACAAAATTAGAACAAGAATTCTTTTATTTTTTGCACAAATTATTAACAATTTTAGCAATTATCAAATTCTGATTTTTAGGTTATTTTAATTAATTGCAGTATTGTTCAGTGCACAAACATGCTATTGAGAAATATCATGGCTTTTGATGTACGTAATTTCCTGTAATAATTATAGTCAGATGTATTGTAGATACTGTGAAGTATTGAATACAGTTTTATTAAGTACTCAATAAACTGTCATTGATTTTTCAAATAAGTTTGATAAATCCTCCTCAGACTGTTCCCTTGGTGCCAATTCCGTTATTCGGTTCTGAAATAAAAAATACTGTCATCAGTTCAACTAACTGAAAAATAGTTACCTGTGGAAGAGTTCCTTTCACCAATTGCGGGATATCGTCTTTTATGAAACCCAACGCGCTCAATCCATTCTCTATTTTCATAATGCTCATATATTTTCTTAAAGTATCGGATAAAATTGTACCAGCATCTCCTTTCTTTGCATTTCGAATGTCAACCCCTAATAATTCAGCGGCTTCTAAATGGCGTTCCGGGCTAGCCGAAGCCGTAAATTCAAACACTGCGGGTGAACTCATAACTACCGATAAACCATGTGGAATTATTGGATGATCGTCGCTAAAAAAACCAAGCAGTAAAAAAAATAAACAAAATCAAGACTATACCTATATCCGCCTGGTTTGAAATCCCTAACATTGCCAGATATAGGATATGACAGTCCGTGACATAAATGTACACCAGCATTTCCAAATCCAACACCTGCCATCGTCGATGCCAAATGCATTTCAGCGCGGGCCTCGATATCATCAGGGTTATACACTGCCCTTCAAAGAGCAATTTCTAAAATTAAATGGCAGGCATGATCTCTTATTTTTACCTTTCGAAATACTTCTGAATAACCCGCAAAGCGTAACGTGCCCAAACGTCGGAAACTGGGTTTCTTCCCTGATATGCTGGGCGTAAACCAGGGTTTTCTGGGCACGGAGACCGTTCATCGTACGAGATGGCAGTGAATGACTCCAAAGCGTGACAAAATACGTCGAAGCCACTGTAAGCAGTCACTCTTTCAGGTAAGGATAAAGTATGTAAGGGATCGATGATCCCAAGTAGCGGTCTCAAAGCTTTACTTGCAATGCCAGTTTTTGCTTGCAGAGGTCTGTAGTCGAAAATACTGACGCCAGTTGTTTCACTACCAGTTCCGCACGTGGTGGGAACTACAAAAAAAAGTGCGGCGATTGTCTATACTTTAGTAAAAACGTATAGTTTCCACATACTTGCAATAAGTGGCTTTAGAGGCACAGTTACAGGTTTTGCTTTGCCGATCGGAGCATTGACGTAGTCCAAAAATTCAGCGTCTCTGTCACAAAGATATAAATTGGCAGCTTTGCAAGTATCCATTACTGATCCTCCTCCTACCGCTATAAAAGCGTCAAAATTTCCAGACTTTGCAAATTTCGTGGCATCTAATAAACTAAGCAACCGTGTTAATTTATTAGAATGAAATTGAGTGAAGCTTACCTTTCTTCAGTCGGCTCCACCTGTACATTTTCATAAACTTCAAATTTAACTCCGTTCTTCGTAAGTGAATTTATTGTAGTTTTTACAGGTGCTAATTTGGCTAGATATGGATCTGTCATAACACACACCTTCTTCGCTTTTAAATTCACCATGTCCATACCAATTTCTTTAGTAACACCTTTGCCGTACCGGATTGTCGATGAAGCCATCTAGAAATCGACAAATTAAACCAAAATATTCATTTTTCTAAAAAAATAGAATAAGTAATTTTTTACTTTAATACGTAGGCATTTAAGAAATTTTGTACCTCAAATGCATAGTCCTTAGAAGGTAAAGCTTTTGAACTTGAATGAACCACCGCTCCATTTGAATGTGCTGGGCATTTACAGCTAAAATGGGAATAGATTTTATGTTTTAAATTTTTCAAATTTATAAAATGTTACACACAAGTGCCTTTGATTAACTGGCAGAAAAACCTTACGAGATAATTAAAATAACTGTGTTTCAGTTTCATAACAATTTTCTTAATACATTTTTTTTATTATTAAAATTAAAAGATTATTAAAGATTGAAACTTCAAAGATCAATATTTCTGTACATCAAACTTGTACAATTTCAGATTACCACTGCCATCTATGTACTAGTACCCAAATTAACTGGGTTGATAAAAGTATAATTTTCTGAAGAAATCCTGAGGAGTTCATTCAGTCTATAGTCAACAGATGGCAGCACTTAATTTAAAGTAACTTTTGAAACCAAATAAAGAAATGGATCATCATATCCATTACAATAATTTTAAGTGCAGTAGTTGACAATTAAATTATTACTTATTTATTGACAAAAGTGTTCAAATATTTAATTATTAACTAAAAATATAAAATTGCTATTTTGGACAAGGTTATATACCTACGCCTTATGAAATTTTTACGTTTGCTTGTCATACGTAACAATTATTCTAACCTAGGTCTAGTAATATGTAAAGAACCACTGTACGAATTCATTGAATTTTTGTATTTGATGTTGATAAACTAACCTATGGTGAGGCCTTGATTAGTATTACTACATTTCATAATTTATTTACATACGTGGCCTTATTTTGGCGTTTGTAAAATCGAGAATACGAAAATTTAAGACTAACGAGTTTCCAGTTTAGACTATTTTTTTACTTGTCTTTTGAATCACTTAGCAGTTTGTACACTACGAGAACGTTTAATTTGCGTCTGATGTTAGTTATCACATTAACCTTTACGTACAGTTATAATCGGAACTGACGATGACGATATAATTATCTATTGTTTAAATGATATACAGGGACCAAAACGATGAGTCTTATTGTATTACTTACGAAGTGGATGTGATGGTTTGCAGTAAATCCAACACTCTTTTTCTAAACACCATTTTAATTAACCACAAACTAACTTCGTTGATATGTGCGAAAGGCAACTAAACCTTTAAGTATTTAGCTATACAACCTAGCTGACACTTGTTTGTACTCAATGTTATCTTCCTAATTGGATTACGATTATGACTTTAAGATACATCTATTCGTTCTGTTATGAAATGTGTGTTATATATCCTTTTCTTTGCATATGTGGTGATGCAAGTTTAAGCAGTACAGATTTGTATATTTTGCAGATTGGAATAATCCAGTGGCAGTTCTCTGAGGAAGGCGGAGAGGGTAGCTCAAACGTAATAATTAATCCCACATTTCTTAAACTATAATGAATACCGTTGGTGCATCCTTTCTTAGATTTTTCACGATTGGGGTTGATTGTCGGGCTGATGTCAAAACACTTGTTGGTGAAAAAATCCGCCTGTGCCTGTGAGAAAGAAGGCTTAGGCGGTTGCTCCTCAAATAAACAAGTACCTGGTGTTAGGTTAGGCGACAACAGCGATCGCCTTAGCTTTAATTTTGTTTTAAATGATGCTTCTCAGGAAAAGAAAAAATAAAAGCAAAGTTGATTCAAGAAATATTTTTTAATGTATGAAACAATTTTCTAAATCTAGTCAGTAACTGAAGTTTTAAATACGATGGTTTCCTTTAATCGCAACATAAAACTCCTCTTTTATCCTTGAACAACATTGCATTGTATAGAAGCCAGATACGATGATTAGAAAAAATAACTGACCACTCCAGACCATTCTAGACAATTTAACTGTAATAACAATAAACAATAACAATCATTTTATTAGTTGACAACCAGCGTGTTTTCTTGTGATGCCATTAAACATGAAAGAGATATTGTTTTGCTAAACAATCGGTATGTATAATATAATCAAATTTACGTTTCTCTTGGATTTTATCGTAATTTTGAATATTTAAACCTAGATTATTTAAATAAGTTTATGTATTATTGTGCAAAATATATATTATACTTAAATCAAATGGGATATTTTTAAATTTTTTGTTATACCTATTAAAACAGTATGATATTCGGTACCTATACTTTTTTTGAAAGGGGATTAAAGATGAAACAACCTAGGTTATATTATTTGTACCAGGCATTTATAATTTATTGTTAATGTTCTACATGAATGGAATGGAAATTGACGTGAATAACAGGAACCGGAACTTAATCAGAACCATAAAAAAGCATTCGTGTAGGTTTTAGAAGTACTTAACTGGTAGAATAATTTATGCGTGTCTAATTTTTATCACTTAATTTTTGTACATTTATTAAAAAAAGCTCTACATACGGCCTTAATACTGATCCTTCAATTTGAATTTGATCACGATTTGCCTGAGTGATGACATCGATGATAAATTAGTTGTAGTTCCAGTGGCGTACGGATATATCATTAAAAAAAAAGTTAAAACTGACCTCTAAGAATATTCTAAAACCTCAGTATTTGGGCTTTTTTGTACACTCTTAATTATTTTATAAACAAATAAAATTTTCCTTATAACAAATACAATTACTCATATTTTCTCTCTGAGCCTTGTCGCTTTCTGACGTAAGTTGGCCGATTTAGACCTAAAGAGACAACATACCATACCTTTACGTACGTATGGTAAACGCGCTGACGTAAACAATAACCGATTAGTATCAATTGTGCTTATAAACGCAAGGGATCTTTGGCCTTTATCGTTAATTCATTTCCTTGATGCCTCGGCTCCGACACAAAAACAGTTTCTGTTCTAATTTCTACCTGACCCTCTTAAAAACAATCGTAGAGATAACTTTGTTGCTCTTAGATATTATTGTTGGTGATATATTTTTTTACTTATTTACGTACATTAATTCAATTGAACTTTCAAGTGGCATGTTTCTATTAGATTGAATTAACGTTTTTTTATTTGTCGCAAAATATTCATTTTTGTTAAAGTTTCAATGAATTTTGAAAAAGGGTATGCTAGTATCAAATTAAAATTCAAATTTGGTGAAAAATAACACATGCGCATGTACGTGACTTGCAACTGTTTTCGAGACCTCAGGGTGGGCATTCCGATTTTAATTTTTTATTTCAATTTTCACCAGCCGCCCACAAGTGACTTCGGACTCACCTTCGTCCATCGTACCTTGACATGTCATTTTCTAACTGGACAACTAGATAGTAACATACTTTAAAAATTAATTATCATACTATATTTGAAACATAAATTTACTATATTTCTTTTCTTTCTAACGCATCCTGCGCAAAGACGTATTTCTAGGATTACTATTTAAAGAATGTGAATAACCAAATGTATCTGTTTAAAATTCGATACTTGTAAACATATTTATGCATTGAAATTAATTGCTAGAACCTGGGATCATATCTATGCTAAAATTAGACTTATCACTCGGCAAATAATTTTTATTAGCATTAGGCATCAGCCTGAAATAATCTCTTCAAATGCGCCCAAGTGGATATATGTATATTGCACACATTAGTAAGATTAATATCATTTTATTTGTTTGATTCATTTTTTTAACAAACCAAAATAGTGGAGCTCTTTGTGCTGATTACATTTTAATATAATGACACTGTCATAAAATTTATTGTTTAAACAGAAGTGCTTTATTGTTGCCTTTATTTTATAAGGGTCATTGTAAGTGTACATTGACTTCAAATTATACATTTTGATAACACTTATGTGGTTTTATTTTTGTTCTGATAAATTGATAATTCAATACCTTTCTTCCTTGTATTAAATCTGTAAACAAAAGAAAATTGAATCTCTTGGAAATCTTATTATATTTAAGATATTTTCTTCTTTTGCATATTTTACTGATATTTTCTGTCTCTTACAGGCAGTCTGTATGAGAACAATACCTTGTTACTACGTATTTACATAACTTATCTTGTTTATTTGAAATAGAAAGACGCAAATATTTGTGCAAAATTTACCTTTATTTAGATGACATACATACTTCTAAAGACAAAAAAATTAAGTATACAGATAGTTTTACTGAAAATTTATTATTTTTTTACTAGAAATAGGTCCCAAAAGTAAAATATTACAAGTGACTATATGTTTTATTACATTTATCTATACAAATATGTAACTAAACGGTTTCCAAAATTTTTGTACATTATTAGATATATATTTTTAAATAAAATGTCCTAAAAAATACATACCTACTACATCCTACAGGTTGACTTTTTGATTTTTTTTTCATTATTTTACATATATTGAATGTATTGACGTATCCTAAAAAAAGATTGGAATACATCATTCTTTATTTGTCCAATTACAGCAACAACAGTATATATAAAACTAGAATTCCTCTTTATTTCTATCACACGGAGAATTTTGAAGTTTCTTTCAAGAACATATCTTATGATCAAACAAGGATCCACTCAAAATAATTTAATACAAAGTATTAATATGTTTTTATCAGCTAAAAATCTAAAAATCGAGGTAAAAGTATATCTCTAATCGTATTTTTGAAATAACTCTAAAGCGATCACATTTTGTCTTTTTGCAAAAGATTCTCATGTTATTTGAATGATTTTTTAAACAGTCGTATAAATTTGTAATGGTTTTAAGATTGATAGATACGGATAAAAAATTGAGATGTTTTGAAATAATAATACGTCAATAGTATACATTAATAATAAAACTGTTTATGGCAAACTGTTAAATAATAAATTTATTAGAATCTACTAATATTAAGTCTAAACTATAAGCGCAATAACGTTAATAATATAAACAATATACTTACTTAAACATCATATTACAAAATAATTTTACACCAACATTTCATAAAAATAAATTTTAGTCAAATCAAATGCTATGAAGCTGCCGCCATAATAACATTAGTTTTCTTACCATAAGAAAACATAATGAAAACATATTTCGAATACCGTACAAGTGTACTGTGTACTGGTGAAAAAATTTGATACCAAATATGGAGTAAAAATAGTTTGTAATAGACCATATTTAACCACAGTTATGACAGACTTATATAAATATTAAGTTAAATCGAAATATGTGTACCTATTTTTAAGGGTTAGAAGAGTGAACTGTAGGGGTTGAAGTAAACTCATAGCGACTTAGTTTAGGAGTTTTGGGCCCAGAAAGGTCTTCGGATAAAGGTCGGTACACGGAGCCGCTGTGCTTCTTCTGACCTGGAGTAGAATGCCACATTGGAATCTTCAACCTTGGAAGATTAGCCTTGTGCATGTTAAAGTTGTTGTTACGTCTCAGTATCGTAAGGGTTACAGTGACTGCCAATGTTAGTACCACCAGAGCTGTCAAAATGAATACAGAAGTTACTGAAAGGATGTAGGAAGCTCTGGCAAGGTTATTGTTCTCATCTTCAACATATCTACTCGCAGCTTCATCATCTTCCTCTTCGTCGTCGTAACCGTAATCGCTATCGTCGTCATCGTCTTCATTTTCGTCGTATTCCAGATTGGAATTGTCGATGTTGTCGATGTCGTTGTCGCGAACATCATTATCCTCAGCTATTTCCCAAGACTCTGTGGTGGTGGTAGTGGAAACTTCTGGGCATTTGTTGTCGTAGAAATCTCTCCAAGAGATGAAGCTGAATCCGTCGAAAGTGTTGGGATTTTCAATATAATGCCCATCTAAGCTAGCATCTAAGTCTTGGGTATTTTCGATTGGACGAATTTGTCTGATATCCATCCAGTTGACGAGTTCACAGAAATCATCTGAGAAATTTAATGGGTTGTTGTTGAGGTCAATAGAAATCAAGTTCGGCATAACTTTGAAATCATCTATAGTTAACGATGTAAGTTTGTTGTCACTTACATACAATTTGTTCAATGAAGGTATGATCTTATTCTTGTTAGACCACAGCATCTCTAGAGATGTGTTTCTTGCATCGATTTCTCTTATAACATTGTTCTTAGCGAACACCTCAGGATTTAGACTAGTCAGGGGGTTCCCTGCAATGTTTAGGCTTTCTAGATTCAAACTCTTAGCAAACGCAAGTGGTGAGATGTAACCGATGTTATTATGTGAAATGTCTAGGATTTTCAGACTTGGCGTTTTCTGGAACATATTGTCTACATTTATGAAATCGTTGTGGGAGAGTTGTAAATCCATTATTCCTGGCATATTTTCGAACACTGAGCTTGACAAAGTTTTCAGGCCACAGTTGTTGCATGAAAACGTGTACGTTATAAACACTTCTCCAGATTTTAAGAAAAAGTTAGGTAAGGATGTGAACTTGTTACCGTCTAATGTAATTTTGTTTAGATCTGGATTTAGATAGAAGATGTCATCATCTAGTTGTTCCAATTGGTTGTTTGCTAAGTTTATAACAACCAAGTCTTCCATATGTGATAATGCCTTACCAGTAAGATTTTTAATTTTGTTGTTGCTTAGGTTCAATTCACTGAGTGTAGAAAGTCTTTGAGTAGACCTCTCATCGAAGCTTTCTAAATTACAATTGCTGAGAGACAAAGTTTCCAAGTTCTCAGATGTGTTTAAATAGAACTGTTTCAGTGGATTATGGTCCAAATATAAACTGTTCAGATCTTGGTTGTTGATGAACAAGTTAGCGGGTAGCTTGAAAATTTCATTGTTAGATAAGTATAGTTCTTCTAAGTCAAAGAGTTCAGCGAAGGTTTCGATACCCACATCCTTAATATAATTCCCAGTCAAATTTAAAAATGTTAGACTCAGCAAGCCATTCAATTTAGGTATTTCCTCTATCTGACAACTGCCAAAGTGAACTTCTTCTAGTTTCTCAGAGAACAAGTTTGGGCTGTCTTCAAAACCGCAGTCTGCAAATTTAAGTCTTTTTATATGATTGAAAGCTTTGTCGTCTATGGATCCAATTTTGGAATTCAAGATAAGCACATCCTCTAACATGGTGAAGCCTTTGAATACAGATTCTTGGATTTGGCTAATAATGACATTTTCAAAGCTAATTACACTAATCGATTGTTTGTTTACAAGACGGAATGTTGTGTCGTTTAAAATCAATGGTCTGTCGCATTCGATGATTTGCAGTCTACCCGGCACATCGCTTGGCTTACATTTGCAGTAATCAATGCAAGATTTTGGTTTTAATGGAAGTAATACGGCTGACGCAACCGCTACAGCTGCTAGTAAAAGGTATAAGCGCCTCATTTATCTGAAAATAGAAAAATATTTTTGACTATCTCTATCTACTTCAGTATAGATGTTGTAAAACAAATTAAAAAATATTGTTTTTTAGGAACAATGATATAATTATTGGTTTATTATACACATAATTTAACGTCTTTTGAAACATTGGAAGATTAAAACGTTTTACTTAAATCTGAGAAAAAAAATCATGACGCACAACAAAATGACCTTTCACTACTTTATCAACGCTTCTCATTATTGAAACTATTCGTGGTAGCCTGTTTTAAAGTGTGATTAAAAATTTCAGAGCATTAGCAGTCGCGACAAGCTTTAATTACTGAGAACTTTTATGATCTTTTAGATTTTTAAAGTAATACTTGTTACAATATCTCTGTCCAAATATATTTTCAGAGATATATACGAGGAAAATTCTTATTAAAATGCTTCAAAATACAGGGTGTTTTAAGTACTTTTAAGAACTGATATTGATAATAATAGACCTTTTTCAATAGCCCCGAGTTCAGTTTTAATTGCATTAACTACACACCTTTTGTATTAAATGATATCACAGCCACACAAAAAAAGGCATGGTTTTTTACCAAACTAGTATATCCCATAGTATTTTGACGCGCTGAATTCGAATCCACTGTCAGAATTGCGTTAACACGTCACATATCTCCCTAACCTCAAAAAATAGGTCAAAAATAGAAAAAATAAAAGAAGTATGAGAAGAAAACAACAAAAAAAATTATTTTTCACATTTCTTAGCATAACTATATGTAATTAGGCTGGCTGAATCCAAATCCACCTTTAGAAATCAAACAGCCCGCCACATTTTTTTCTAACCTCAAAAAAAAAAATCGGCCAGAAATCGAGGTTTGCAAGAAATAAAGAGAATCATGAAAAATTTGGTACGTAGGGGTTTTTAGGTTCGCTAATCACGAATTTGAATTCAGAATTGCAAAATTCAACATGGCGGATGCAATATGGCGGACCAGGATCCAATATGGTTGATTTTGTGGATGAATAGATGCATCTTTGAAGCTAAGAAGAACCAGTAAGATAAAAAGTGGACATGTCGTTGTTACCAAATTGTCAAAATTACATATATATTATTATTGTCACCAACCTTACTAAATAGCAGTGTATTAAACGGACTTGACGATATGGCTTCCAACATTCGGACGCAATTGAATTTGATTCGTAACAATTAATTTTGACTCTTATGTAAGCATTATAACGGAATGCGCATGCGTCTGACTGTTGGACTGCTCTAGGAACAAAGTGCTTCTAGTGTCTATCGTGGTGAAAAATGTAGGAAAAAACACAATACATTATATAAACACACAAAATTTTGTTAATTAAGGCAAAATTGTGAAAAAGGTCAATTCTAAAAGATATCGACAACAACTTCTAATTAATCGAGGAATTTTAGAATTTTGGAAGGATATATATAATTTGTTTTTGACGTTTGGAACTGGTTAACTTTTTGCATTCTTTGAATCTCAAACAAATTGTAAAAAATCCACACGGACAAACTTTGTTATATTTAATTAAATTTTTAATACGCTAATAACACAAATTCAAGGATAAAAATCATTAGTTCCTTAGTAATTAATTATCAAAACCGAAAAAGGTCATTTTTGCTCTGAACGACGATAACAGCTTAAAATAAATATGATAAATCAAACTAAGGAGCTGACAGATGGGATTGCCAAAAAAAAGTATTGAAGCCCGTGACCTTTTGAAAGGGAAGCAAAAATTAAAAAAAAATCCGCTGGATTTCTTATGATTTCTTAAAGGTGATAAACGATAACAAAAGACTTTCAGATTTTGAAACTAGGAACTTCAAGCTTCAATATGTCTTTTCTTGAGTGCTCTAAGATCAATTTTCGTCATGTCACAGCTTTTTTTGAGTCATATAAAAATTTAGGATTTTTTATCCTTTCATTTTTGTGACTATATTTGTGATGTGAACTATCCATAATCTTTGGAATAAATTTTAATACAAATAATCTCTACCAATCTCTTGACAGCAAAATCGTTCGTCTCACTTGAAATTCCCTCCTGACTACGACCCTGCTTTGGACTTTGATGTCTATGAACGTAATGCACACTTGTTAATTTTTTTTGTATACATTTTCTAAACTTCATACCTTTCGAACAGTTTGCATTTATGTACTTTCTGACGACTATTAATACACAAAACTTCTGTATTTGATGCCAGCTCTACGATTCATGTAGCCACATTAATTATAACTATTATTGCAAAATGTCGGACAATTTTAATTATTTCCAAGGCTAACTGAGTAACACTTTTTTTGGACGCAAAATTAATTTCTAGGTGTTTATTAATAATTGAAAGCTATAGAATCCAATACTATTATAGTTTTAATATCTACCTAATTTGATATCCTCACCTTTTCTACGGACACCTCAATGTTATAAAACACACACTATTTTTTACTTATCTCCACCTGTCCTGGTAACCACGTAGTGATAAATTCAAGAGTAGTTAGATATGGATTCGTTTTCAGAATTATCACAAGCCTTTATTCTTATTGGCTTTGTTAATAAAATGAACATCCCACTTTCAATACTTCACCTCCCACCCCTCTTTTTGCAATCGTGGTTTTAGAAATTATTTCTCCGTCAAAATATTTTTCGCCAGTCCTTTATCGATAGTTTAATTACAATAATTTAAGGGTAAGTACGCAAATCGAAAAAATGGTCGTTGTGGGCAGATCTAATAAATTTGCTAAAAAATGTAGATTTATTAAAAGTCATTGTTCTCAAGTGGATCATATTAGTGGACTGTGCACACGAAACAACTGCTTTAATGAGAACAAAGAGAATTATTGACCCCATGGGATGTTACCAAAGTTTTAATGAAACTACCAGGCGTTTTTAGTTTTATGAATATTTCATGTTTCGATAATTACTGAACATTTTTCGAATACCTTGTATAATTATGTAATGGATTAGACGCTAATAGAGTACGAGAATTTTACTGCTTCGTGATTGAACTCAGAATGGTGAGGATGTAGGAAAATATTTGATGGTCATTGACCAATGACAAAAAAGGGAAAGTTTAAATCAGAATGCAGATATTTTGTCCATATACAAGGTTGGCGAAATTTACACATCATGTATTTGAATTCCAATAAGCGACAAAAGATAACTATGGGAAATTATTTATTTTGATGTTTCCCAATAACAAGTATTGGAAACACATCCTGTATATATATTCATCAGTATAAATAAAACAAGGATTCGGAGTAAATTGCGTGCGCTTTACTTGGAACGAAAATACTGCTTTACGGAGCAGTACAGTTTCTAGCAGTAATTGTTTAAAATGTATTTAAGACGCTTTGGATACTTAAGCTGCAAAAATTTGTATTACAATGGCTGGGATGTACAATGGGTTTAGCCAGACAGTCTATATTATTTAAAACGTATGACAAGATAGCGAGGAATTAGGAGAATTTTATTTTATTAACATAACAGCACAGCAGAATACTAAAAATGTATTCTTATTATTAAATATATGTTTTAAAATATTACTCTAAGCTAGCACTTAATTTTTACGGCAAAATTAGTTACGATAAACTAAACAATAGTCATTATTTTTAACAATTTCGTTTTAATTAGGACTTTGACTTCGCAGTATTTAATTCTGAACATTCTCGCGCTAACAAAATACACAGAAACGCTCATAGGTCTCTCTTTAGGTTTGCTGTTACTGTAATAATAATAACACATTAGAAAGATAATAGAAGTCTTGCAGGTACCGTTAAGTTAAGATTAGCTATATATGATAAACAATATTTCATGGTCTTTTAAATCATCAGTACCAACAAAAAGATAAATCCCTCAGAGCTGTCACTTAGTAAATTAATGTATCTTGAAGGAGATATCAGTGGCGTAGAAAAATTAATTTACGTTTTAACAAATTTTGTATTTTGAGGAAAGGAAACAGATTCAAGACAGTTTAACAAGAAATACTTAGCAGTAGCTAATTAAATGGCTCTGTAAACACCGATACAAGATCTGAAACTGAATTTATTGGGCCGCTTTCGCAATATCACCGGATGATGTGATTAAAAAATCCCGTCTTTCGAATTTTTACTGTTTACCGAGACGCCAGAAAAATCTGTTCGAATTTTATCAAAGTACGTGACAATCTGATAAAAGTGCTTTGTTTAGTTTAAAAATCGTGTTTCACAAGTACGTTTTCTAGAGAAATATGTTATTAAGTGATCTTGTTTGCATAGATCGATCCACCACTTGAGGATGACTTATAAACATGTTTTTGCCCTTTCGAGAGGCGAATAATGGAAAATAGTGTGAAGCAATAATTTTTGGGGCTTATATTCGTGAATAGCAAAGCGCTTTGTTGCATTACTCGGCACTTGCTAATTTAGTTATTGATTTATATTTATGTAGATTATCATTATCAGCAATTAACATCTCTGAGCGTCACATATGAATAGAAATGACACCGGTCTTTGTCGTCTGAAGTCTCATCAACTCGAGTGAACGTGATTTTACTGTATCATAATTTTCATGGCTCTGTCAGGCATACTTGTGATCTTATTAGATTTTTTATTGTCTTAACCGTAGACAATGAATGATTTTTCGCTTGAAAGGTTCCATTATCCATGAACAATCGTTTTATTTTGGCACTGGCTGCAAAAACCTTCGACATGTTTAATTACGGGCACATACTTATTAAAATGAATTTCTTTTACGAATATTAATCGAGCTATTAATAATATTTCGTGAAAAGCAGGAACCGAATTAGGAAGGAACTTATTAAGTGGAAGCAATTCGGCTGAAGTACTCTCATACTGATAAATCTGGTACTTACGAGTGTTGCTGTATACAGATAATTCCTAAGTTAGGGTGAGTTGCTGGGACCAGGACAAACGTCAGAAATTATAAATGTAAACAAATTGGAACGTAACTTTGTTAATGGTCTCTGGGAACAGTACCACTACGAGCTGGAATTACAACCTTGACTGCAACTTGTTGCGCACCTTACTCAGACTAATAAATCCATCAAAATTTGTTGATTTAATCAACAAGCTATTAATTGTTTTCAACTGCACTTAACGACTTACCAAGGTTAAAGCTTCCTTTACAAAATATTCCCTGGAAAATTCACAGTGTAACTTCTTGTATTCACTTCATTAAAATATAATGGTCACAAAATATACCTGTGCTCACTCAGGTAAGTCCCCCCTCTCTTGCCATGCACTGCTTATCGCATTACTCGCTAGAGGGAACAGTATCTTTGTAAAGCCAAGTCCACATATAGTTAATTAGTTGACCTTTTTTATACAGTTTAAGTGAAGTCACGTTGATACGGAACGCCCATTGCCCATTGGTTGGTATCCCGACACGACAATCTCACTTTGTGTGCAGCTGGCTTAATATTATTAATAGTTTTGTTTTATTTACAACAGGTCTGGACTACTATCACGACTTGGAATATTTCTCGAACATATGCTTCAAACCAAGTATTTATTAAAAGGATTAACTTAGTTTTTAATAATTACGCGATAAACATCTACAAGAATCATTTAGTTAAATGTAAAATTCAAGGTTGATAATCTGATACAACGGGTTTTCCTGCGATAATACAAAAAATTTACGGTCTCACCTATTTTCCCTGAAAAAGATTACGGAAAGTTCAAAGATTTGAAATAATATTGCAAATAGGTACACCGGAAATTTGTTTTATCGCCCGTTATAGGTATCTTCTATATATTTTTTACATATTAAATTTGTAAATATAGGATTCCCCTTAAGTCATCAATGGAGAATACACTAAAAAAGTGACAGGAATATCCACCTCACAAAACAAATAAAAAACTAAGTAAAGTAACTTTTTTTTAACTCTATATTTTAGAAAGTATTGAAAGTATTTGAATTGCGATTTTTTGTATATTTATTTTTGTATTAATTTTCTTGGTGTCATATTTTTTTAAAAAGGTGACGCGTACCATAACATTTACAACCAATATTGAGATCAAACATTACAATCTATTGATCGGATCTAGTCAAGCTTCCAGTTTTCTGAATTAGGAACAATACCGTGGTTATCTCAATCGATGATAGTCAAACAATATATCTTCATTTATAAAAAAGTAACTTTTATCTTATCGTCACCGTTTAATCCCGTATGAATTTATATTTACGCGCCATCTATCAAGAGATATATGCACGACACGTAGCGTGAGAATATACAGTAATCTATATACATATTACTTAAATTTGATTCAATCTTTGATTTCAAACGTAATCCTCCATTTTTAACTAGTCTGTTAATTTTGTAATAGTTATTTATCTTACGTAGTCAAGGAGGCGTAGATAAACAATTGTTGTTGTTTGACACTGACAAAAACTTTGATGGGGATAATTATACCAATAAGAAAACCACCGAATGATATATCGTATATCCTAAAGAGCTTTTTTTAAGTAGTGATAAAATTAAATACAACGATTACATTGGTACCATGAGGTGTATTGTGGGTGGTATATTCTACAGGTAAAAAGTCCACAGAGGTACCACCTACAGTTGTTGATCCTCCCAATAGATGGCGCTTGGCATGTTTAAATCAAAGTAATTTGATTTGGTACTAGATCTTTTTACATATATATCTTAAATTTTTACTAGTAATTTCAATACTAGTTAAATCATGCCAAGGAGTTGGTTACGCATGAGCGAATTCCTTGCCTTACTTAATTAGTACAGACTTAATTATTTTATACACAATTAGTATATGATTATTAGTTTTTACAAAGGAATTTCGCGGAAAAAATATATATCGGTATACGTGTATGAATATTTTTAGATTTGTAAATCAAGAAGGCTGAGAAGTAAAGTGTCACGGAAATCTGTAAAAATTGCATGTTTTCAAGTTGTTTAATTGCATGTAGCCGCCTTATTATTAAATATATTTCGATCCGGTTTTTTTGTTACAAAATTTAGTCTCTTCTAGGAAACAGTCAGTAAACAATTTTAAGAACCACGAAAATCACGAAACGACGCAGAAGAGGTATTACACCATTTTGCAGAGTCACGTTATCCTAGAAAAAAATGAACTGCAAAGTGTTCAAAGCTTGTGTTGATCTGTGTAAACTCTAATGTGTTTAATTCCTTAAATTGTCTTCAGTGAAAACAATGTTTCTAAAATCGATATACATATAAATAAAAAAGCGATAAAGGTAAAACTGTGCGTTATCGAGATTCAGCTTGGGGCAAAGGCATTTTAAAATCTCTGAAAAATGTACTATTACGCCTTTTTTCTTTTTATGGGAAGTTGTACGCATGAATCCGCCATTTGCGCAACCGCTAAGGAATGGCCGTAATTGAATGCTGGTCATGTACAGAAAATTATATTCCTTATACAGCTTTTGCAATCTTGTTGGTACTGTAGTCGACAAGTCCTTTGAGAATAATATATTTTATGCAATGTTTGATGTTTGTACAGGGATAAGTTATCTCTTCTTGAATAATGACAAAGTTCATTTGATTTAATTATATAAAATTATGTATACTTAGATATATTTTTACAACGGCAAACAGAAATTTATAAAAAGTAATATACTGGAAAAATACTTGTTTTAGGTAAACACGATTAATCGAAACGTTAAATTGTCTTTTCGAAGTAGTTATACTGGCTCAGAACTAATGAGAGCTAGTAACCCCGTAGAGACAGTTTTTTGTATAGTCTTTCCGATCTCAATTGAAGAACCAAGAGCTTGGCAGTATGTACCAGGTTCGGTCGCTGACACAGCAACTCGGCATTGAAATATTTGAAAAACTTGTTGCCATATTTATTTAAACATACCTATATACATGTATCGTCGTCCAGTTGAAGAATGAGCGCGCGGACAAACGCGGCACAAACACAGCCGCACTAGGCCACCTGGCCATAAATTCAGTTGCCAAATGGCCTAGCAGTGCAGTGCAGCAATGCGGAATTTGGTGTGATTTTAATTTGTTATAGGCACTTTCTATTAATCATTCATATTACAATTCCGAAAGGGAGAAATAAGAGGGATATTTTATTTACTAATATTATTACAAAATGGCATTTTGGAGACCTTTTGAAACGGAAAAACTTTTTTACTACGCGTTTTTATATATGTTCAACTGAAAGACTATAAGTATTAATTTGAAAATCAGTTTAAAGACTTTCAAGATTAAAATGCACACATGAACAGAATAAGTAGATTGTCGTATACAGGGTACAGTTTTTTAGAGGTACATGCTCTCCTGAAGTAATTAGTTTTTTTTTAAACGGACCTTAACTATTGTTTACGCCGATATGGCTAGAACCTACTTTTTGTCAGGACAAAAACATGTTGTTGCAAGAAGACGATATCATATGGAGTACAAGTACTGAATAAGGAAATGTTTGTAAGATCGGTTCAACATTTAAGAGATTATGGAAGCTTTGAACTCTAATGTTGTATGGGAGCAAACTCAGATCTTGGTACTAATACTCGAAGATTAGCCACAAGATTTTAAGTATGTCATATGCTGTAAATATCATTACTTATTTAATTTATCATTATTTATTTATTACTGTTTGAGTTTTCTGTTAGGCGCTGTTTTATAGGTTATTTTATTTAAAAGGATCACATTTTCGTTTATGCGGGATGATAGTCCTTCAGGCGGACACCCATTAAATAAAAAGTAACGCGCTAGAGATCAGTACTTCACAACAGATGGTCTGTTAATAAAATTTGCTTTTTAATAACCTCCTAAAAGATTTGTCAACAATGCCTACCACAGTTCCCACGTGCGCATGCGTTGCCACTAACGCGCACCGTCGTTTGAAGTTAGACTAGCTTGTCCAGCGGCCGGGTATAAAAGCTACTACAAAAAAGTTTAAAAAGAATGTTATTATTTTTGTTGTAATTTTATTAAAGCGAAACACAGGTAACAGAATATTTTTGTTTTCGTGCAATAAACTAAAACATAATATAAATTTACTTTAATTTACTTCTATGAACTGAAGTACCTATTACAGCGATGCAGTTGTTAAATCGTTAATAGTTTTTCCTCGACATTCCTTTTTTACATTAATTTTGTGTGCTATAATTTAAACTTTTACGGGAATTTGAATGCTTTCTAGTGTAACTTAAACATTTTGAGCTTTTAATTATTTTTTTCTACTTTTATTGCAAAAATAAGTACTGGTTTGTACTAATCTTAACGGTTTCTAGATGCGAAAATCTAGAAATAACCATCTCCGAAGAGGACTTTGGATTCTGTTTACGGTAAGTGTTCCTATTATAAAATTGCAATCGAAAACAACACACAAATGACGTAGGTAAAATTCAATAAACCACTGTTTCTATATACTATTTGTCACAAACTAATAATTTATGACATTGTCTTAATTATTTAAAGCTAACAGACCTTTTTAGTAGTGACGTCACATATGCCAAATAATAGGCAACCCCATAGTGCACATTACCATGAAGAATTTCTCCATTTTACTAGATCGATTTTCGAATGGACATGTGCCAAAAAAAATGTCTTCTTTGTCATGACCTTAAATATCGTGATACTGGCAATATTAGAAATATTTAAGAAGCTTCAAACCCCAAGTGACAAACTTACATATTTAGATTTACAGAACAATATTGTCTTTTATGGTAATTAATAGTTTAAAATTATATCAATGTTGTTGAGCACGCGCATTAAAGACAATTTTATGTAAGCGAAGTAGCCTCGCAACAGGATATAATTCTAGAAAAGTTTGGTTATGGTTAAGAGTACGTCTATAATAAAGAACTTGAGAAAAGAAACACTCTATAAACACACTGACATGGCACAAGACCAAGAAAAATAATAAAAACTAGAAAATGCCAAGATTAAACAAAAGAAGAGAAAATATGACAGCGATGACATATCAACAAGATGTCACCTGCGTATGAGGCTATTCTTTCCAAGCATGCGCATTAGGAATAACTAGGCTAATGTTACATTTTTACATTATTTAAATTTAGGAATATGATTTATATCGTTTTTTTAGTTTTAAGCACATTAGTATATTATGTATTTTATTAAACACGTGTGGTTGTTCTTTGAATTGAGTTTGAAGTTGTTCATTTTTATAGCATCTATGTAAATAGTACACAAGTATCCGATTCGGTCTGTACAATTTCAACCATGACAATTTGTTGTGGGTTGCCTAAATATGTGACGTCACACTGAAAGAATCTATTGTGGCGGTAACATTTTAATTAAAAATGGTATAGTCCTTCCGATATCAATTGAAGAACCAAGAGATTGACAGTATGTACCAGGTTCGGTCGCTGACGCAGCAACTCGGCATTGAAATATTTGAAAAACTTCCCATAATTATTTAGCCATACTCATATACAGGTCTGGTCGAACTAAACGTGGAGGTGGTAGAAATTTATACGCCCAGTTGAAGAATGTGAGCGCGGGCAAACGAAATACAAACACAGCTGCATTGGCCACTGGGCAATAAATTTCAGCTGTTGACAAGTGGTTGACAAATTGCCCAGCAGTGCAGTGTAGCAATGTGGAATTTGGTATGATTCAGGTAATTTTAATTTATTATAGGCACCTCCTATTAAATTTTATTGCCAGACGTTTTTTTACATGTTCAACTGACTTCGGAAAGACTATATCTATTGAATTATTTTATTTTAAAGGTGCTAAGTCAAATAAATAAATTCAAAAAAGTTTGTATAACTTAAAAAGTATATATTAAAAAATATTATTGCAAATTACATTTTACATGTTTAATAATTAAAAAATCGCAGTAGGGCCAAGGGGTGTAGAATGCTACAATAACTTAATTTTATTATTTAATTGCTATTACGATTTAACGAAAATTAACAGCTGCAATTTTGAGGAAATTATTATTTAGACAGAAAGATTTTTGATTTTCGTTCAACGATTATTATCAAAATTTTTCAAAAACACATTTTGTGAATATGCGCAGACACGTCGAAAATGTGAGGTTATGACAGGTTTATCCCTTGTGTGATATGATTCTTGTAAGGATTTTTAGTTTTGAGGATTTACAGGGCCCTTAAAAAAATAAATGTAGTACATGATTAAATCTTAGAAACATATATCAAAGGAGTGACCTATATTTAGTATTATTAGAGAAATGTAAATAATCAAAATCTGATGCGTTTGCCACAAAATTTATTTAGTGTCGCAACAATCAAAAACATCCACAAAAGCGAATAAGAAACTATATTCAATTTTAGGGACACGAGGTAGTGTAAGCTGCAGCAGAATTATGTGCAATTACAAACGGGCCTTCGAGACATTTTTTTAATAAAAAACATAGAGCCCTAGGATGAGCCTCCCACCCTAGATCTCCCATCGCGCTATATATCACTGACTAGCGCATTTCGCCGTCTACTTTCATATGAGAAGAGAGCTGCTTAGCTTTATCTTCACTCGGTACTTAGGTAGCGCTCCAAGTTCAACCGCGCGCGACTCGGCTCAGTCACTTTTCAAACCCTACGCGCTCCCTGACAGTAACCCGATAGTGCGAAACTAAATGACGGCGTCCGAGGATTAGGAAAGGTAACATGTTCTTGTTTTGGTGCTCCGAGGTGCTCTAATCGGTGCAAAAGTGACAATACTTGTGAGTGCACAGTGCACATTTACGGTGTGTTGTGGACCGTGTTGATATTAGACGCAGTGGCCGAGGTGCATAACAATACCATTTCCACGTTTTTCAAACACTGGTAAGTGAAATAAAAAAAAAAAAATCGCCGTACTTACCTTTAATTTCGACACGAGCACTATTTTATCTTAAAATACGTACTGATATCTGTTTTTCTTGAATAAATATTTATTCGGATGACACTGTCGGCGAATTATCTGTGTGCGTTGCTCCAAAGCAATTTATTGTTGTAAGAATTTTGCGTCATTTGGAACATCATCTTTGACTTTAACCCTTTGTACCGCACTATGTGGACGAAATAGTTGTGTTTGTTGTATTTTATCTTATCACTGGTCCGTATTTGTTTAAAAATTGTCACACGCCGACATGCAATTGGTTTTGTTTTGTAAAGTTAACTGTAGATTTTATTCGACGTTCACTTTCCTCGGCAGGATAAGAATAGTTTTCTCAGTTGTCCAATTAAAATGGGACGTTTTTTCGTCTGGTACATATGTAACAGACAATTTCATGGTCATGGTTTAGAAAAGTCATCTTGCGGTATGCCGTTACCTGACTACCTACATATTACTCCGATCCTTTTTTTTTTACAGTGAATCATACGAGGTTCTGCGGCCAATAATGCCAGTTTAGAAAGTGCCACTCCACCGATTTGGTAACAATGGTAATTTATTACCATGTAGACAATGACATATTTAAATTATTTCATAAAACTGTTTGGATTATACATTCTTAGATGTCATTTTCCTGTTTAAACGATATCATACGTCTTTATACAAAAAATCCAACACTTCTTCAACCGATTTTTGTGGACCCTTTTTTATATTCCTGGGAACAATTTTGAGTACTATATTTGAAATATTAGATTCACGGAACTGGAAGATAATCCATTTTTTCTGTACATCAAATACATTTCATATCAGGTTCAAAGGATTTATCAGTTTCTTATCTAAGTAATTTTTCCTGTACAAATAAACGATAAACTTACACCACCAAAAGAGTTGCCCATTCTGTGCAAGATGTAGAGAAATGTCGCAATGTTTAAACAGTACACCTTTCACATTTTTTTTTTATTGTTGAAACAATTCTTGCACGTAGCAATATGTAATGAATTGTTTCCAGGAATCCTTAGTTGTCTGTCAACATAAAACATTTTAAAATTAATACATACAGGATGTTTGTAATAAGTACGAAATATTCTAGGGGGTGGTTGCCGAAGTTATTTTGTGAAAAAAAGTTCATATAAACGTAGGTTGAAATATGCGTTTCCGAGATACAGAGTGTTTAAATTATAATTTTTTATTTATATTAATTAATTATTTCAGAGTTTTCGTCACTCGAAATTTGAAAAACGCTTTGGAGGGATAAATGTGCATTTTTTGAGGTTATTCGAATATTTCCACTTGCACCAGTGGCGTTCGTGCGAGAATGCCACCTTATTTAATAAAAAAAATGGTACGCCACTGACTTTTTCCCGTTTTGATATTTTAGAATTCCGCCATCAATTTTGAATGAAATTGGTCTCTTCAATTTTTCTCGTAGGATGCACCGTTTTTGAAGAAAAAAATAAAACATTTTATTGCAAGTTGCTATATTTCTAAACAAAATACAACCGTCAAATTTCAAGTCTCAAAAAACTGAAATAATTAAAAAATTAAACGCTTTGTATCTCGGAAACGAAGCATATTTCGACCCACGTTTATATGAGCTTTTTTTCATAAAATAACTTCGACAACCACCCCCTAAAATATTTCCCACTTATTTACAAACGCCCTGTATATAAAAAATACCCAACAATAGTTTTTACTGAAATATTTCCGCTTTCTGTTGCTACGTGACGGTCTAAACTTCAGTCTAGACCCATTTATTGGATTTCAGAGATAGTTCTTGCTGATAAAAGTGAAAGTATCCCTATTCGAATCGAGTGAAATGGTTAAAATAATCAAGGTTTTTATCCGAAATGTCAAACTAGGTAATTGTACTCGAATTCGACCTAAAATATTTAGTAAGTGCCTTGCATTATTTAAAACAATGGGATCATTTCCTGTATTTTACGATGGCTATCTTATTATGTGGCTTTCTTGTGACCAACAATAAAAACAGGTAACTCTTGTCTGCCGACGAATTTCTTAATGCGGTCAGTGCCTATCTTATTTGTGCTAGACTGTCGCCTGGGCAATTGCAAAGGTAGATAACGAAATTGATTTATTGTTAGTTCGTTCTAGTGTGTGATTTCTGGAACTTGAAGGAGTCTCCTTATGTGATTCAAAGTAATTAATAGTTTTTCACTATATGTAATATATACCATATACCTACTATTAAATACACTGGTTGACAATGAAAATGCACTTAAATTGTGGACTGAAGTAAATGCGGTGTAATTGTTGAACAGCAATTTAAAAAATATGTAGGTGTATACCTACAAATAAATAAAATGCCAGCTGACTCACACATCTCAGTTCGAGCTTGACCGATTTACAGTTACAATTTTTTCAAACTATAATTTGTGGCTTCTATTAACAATAATTACCAGTAATTCAAATGTAATGATTCATTATTATGGAAGCCATATTTTTGCAACATACTTGCCAATTAAAAAAAATAAATATTATTTATTTTGTGCGTTCTTCCTACAAACGTCAAAATATCAAGTTGTCGTCATCCCTAATTTCGAGGATGATGTTCCCATTTCAAATTTTTGTATTAAGTTAAAATTTTCGAAATTCACAATGTTTGACCCTATCTATCTGCGCTTTACTATCAGTGTCGGCTGCGTAATTGCAAAGATAACGAAATATTAAGTGGATTAAAATTATTTTTGTCGCGAGTCTCGAAGGCGAATTGCGCAATGCCCTGTTCGAATCGCATCCTTGTGCATTCATTAAGATGCGTGGAATTGTTGCGGATGTCCAGCATTAGACCCTTGACAATTGTTTCCAATCGTATCAGCAGTTACCTACAATCATAATCAACGAAGAGAACGTGCGATAATCAATACCTTATTAAAAAATTGCTCTTCGCACGGAAAAAATGCAGGAAACCAATTATTTACTTAAAACCTCTGGCGAAAACAAACAAATTTGTTCGTCACAAACACTTAAGCTAACACGCAATCAAAATTTGCGACGAAATATCACGAAACCACGGCAAAGAATTTCGCTTGGGGGTAAATTTATTCGATTGAAAAAACGCTGGGTGATAATCGCTTCTTGGCCACCCATAGCCACTTGATTAGTGCTTTTAGGAATGCCGCTGCCTTCATATTTATTGTTTTTGTTGCAGGTAGACGAAATGTGGAACCAAATATTCCTCTTGTATGCCGCCCTGGGGGCAGCGTTCAGCGCCACTTTGTTCCACTGCCAAGAGCGTTCCAACTGTCAGCTCCCCGGTAACCACGTAGAAGCCACCACATTCGAATTTCTCAGCAAATTCTCCCAGAAACAGTTTCGTACCATAGTGAGTCTATCGATGTCTAATGCATCAGTGAATAAAGTCGATCCCAAGTTAAAATATCTGAAGAACTTAAAATACTTGGATCTGTCTTATAATAACGTACAAATTCTATCCATTCCTCCACTGATCAACTTGAAGACGCTGAAGTTGAACGGGAACAGTCTAAAGTATATAAACATGACAGCGCTTCCGCAAAATATAGAAACCCTAGACATTTCCCACAACCTTCTTGTTCAAATTCCCAAAGACTGGAGATCGTTAAGGTCACTTAAGACGTTGCATTTGTATAAAAATCCCGTTGACTGTGATTGCAACAATGTTTTAAATTACGATCGATTAGTAAAAAGCGGCATTGTAGTACCTGAAGCTGTAACGTGCCATTCTCCAAAGAAGTACATCGGAAAAGACATAAGTGCTGTTAATTGCTCATTAGACGATATAATGCTGTACGACGAACCCGATCTAGGTTCGGGCGACCTTTTGGAGGAAGACATAAACGAAGATGGAATGCACGTTCCGTTGGTTCAAGAAAAGGAGGATGAAGATTTACAAGAAAACAATACGTTTATAGACGACCAACTTCCACAGGAAGAACTGATACCAGCCGAGGCTACCGAAGAAACATTGGGAGAAACGCTAGATGAAGGAAGTGGCGACGAGGGTAGTGGTTTTTATGTTAACTTCCATAAAGACACACTAGGGTGTATTGAAGATTGTAGCACTCCTGGACCAATCGGTACTAACGATGAGGAACACGCTTCGCCTTTACCGAGTCCCATAGACCAAGCCAAGATACTGTTCGACGATATTAATATTTTCAAAGAACCTACTACAACTGGAAGCACCACAACCCCAACTACAACAACACCAACTCCCGTAATCGAACCAAGAATTGTCAAGACAGCTGCTCCAACTGTTAAAGCATCTCCGAAGAACGATGATGTTGAGGTTATAGCACACGCTACCAAAACAGGAGAATTGGAAAGAGCTTCAGTAGCGCCTGAAAATTCTACCGCCGTATACGCTATCATCGGAGTCGGGCTCTTCTTAGCCGTTGTGTTTATGATATGCTTCATCAAAAAGCGACGAGCGAAGAATAGACGTGAATTGCCTAACTCTATAGGACAAGAAATGATTCCATTAAGTAAACCAATTAATGAAAAACCACTGCTGAACTCGTCAAACGCGCCTGAACATGTCCCATTGATTAATGGACAAAATGGCAAACCGAAAGACGATACTCCAATTCTCAAGACATTCACTCCACTGACTCACCCTGAAACGGTGCAGGAAGAAGAAGAGGAACCGGAGCAAGAGAACAACCAACGAGAGTTGCCGAATGATGTGGAGTTGCGTCAAAAGTTCACATCGGAATTGCTAACGCCTCCAAGAGAAAGGGTCACCATAAAGGAAACGGAAATTCCAGATTCAATTCCGAAAACGCCTTTACTAGTTCACCGTCAAAGAAATAGTGATGGTGAAATAGTCACCACGCTGGTTCCTTAATGAGACTAGTGATGTGAATACCTCAGTATTTATTATCTATCGATACTTTGTGATAAAAATTAACTTATTGCGGTCGTTCCTATAATAAGTTAGACTAGATAAGAGTCAGTTTCTTATGAAAAGAAAAGTGTAATTTTTTGACTGTTACAGACTATATTATGTATGTATACTTATTTTATGTGTTTATTTATAATTGTTGCCAAAGTAATGTTATTAAATATTTAATAAACTGATTTAATGTTGTTGATATTGCAAAATGAACTAGACACAATTTATTTCTGTAATGGCATAAGTTTATTTGAAATGCAAGTGAATCAACTAAAGATAAATGGCCTTGGGTTTTAGTTGAGTCACTTGGTATAACGGGATCAATTTTTGTTACCCAAGATCTCTGGAGGTTCGCTATATTAGTGTATTATATTTTTGTATCGCTTTCGCTGTGTTCAGTTAAATTTTAAAGTGCCGTTAGCCCATTAGACTAAAATAAAATTGGTTCAGCAGTAAAAAGTTAAAAAGTTACACAAAAACGGCTGTGAAAACTTGTTCAGGCTTGGTAAAGGAGATTGGTCATCTCGCATTGATTGATTCGTGTTCCAGAACCATTGCTGATTACGATTTTGCAATACTCAATTATTTTTTACATTTTTCAGTTGGATGTATATTTCACCCTGGTAGACGAATACTATTTGCAACGGTCGAAATGTTTGTATGTTAAAATTTAATTAAGCAATTTGTGTGAACAGGGTAGAAATTTTTTTTTATTAAATGTTATAAATAATCAGTTATTTATCAGTTTTGTTTTCTATTTGTAAATTTTTAGATGAATAAAAAGTTAAAGATATGACCTTATCTTATTTTAATCTAACCCACCGTAATGTCGTAAATTTGAAACTAATAAAATTTTATAATACCCAAATATTTCAAAAATTGATTAGTTTGACACATAGCATACACAAAAACAACTGATGCTATTTTAACTAAAATACCATCGCGATCTATTATCTTTTAATACCTTACTTTAGTACTCTTTAATATGTTGTCTATGTTAAACTATTATCAAAACAGAATTGACGTGTAATGACTTTCATTTACGTTTGATCGATAATTTGGCAACAAATTCGCACCTACTCACGATAAAATATTCAAAACAATCGTAAAATCCAAGAAACGTAATACGTAAACGTTATTTTGTGTTAATAAAACTTTACAGTTTACTAGAAGCAATTATTTACATACACTTTGGTAATGAAGTATTCGTTGAGCGTCAGAAAAAAAATATGAGTAAAAAAAAATTTACAAACAAAACAGGCGAAATTCAGAGCCTACACTAATGATCAGACCACACCCAAATATCATCCTTTAGAACATAAAAAGTGTCTTTCATAAAATATCTGTGAGTGAAGTTTGCCATTTCCTTATTTGATCTAAACCGCAAAAAATACTGAAGTCGGAGCTACCTGGGATTATTCGAAGAATTAGGTCGGCTCATTGATATAACTAGTCATCCCGCTTTTTTTGTCAAGACAGATGTGGTCTGCACTTCCTTTAAAAACGTTGTATGTCTTATGGCACACCTTGTTTATTTGTAATTAAATAGGCTACGTGTTTCCGATTCAATCCATCTAGTAACAACAGTCCTCTTGCAAATTTTTCTCGTTATATCCGTCGAGACTTCACAATTTATCCGGTCAGACGAAATAGTACAGAGTGGCTCATTTAAAACATGGAGACACGTCAAAACTAAATCATGCACACAAATTTGACCGGGTTTCAAATAGGCTCCTTCGCATATGCAAAAATTTATTTCAATTACTTGGAAAGAAAACTATGGGGTATGTAAATACCTAATTAATATAACGAAAAGAATATTTTTACATAATTGTGCATATCGGAAATTTCTCTGTACCAAACTGTGGCCTTGGGTCGTGTCTTATAAGAAATATTAGAAATTCTAATTGAAAACACTCGAGCTGGATGTAGACGCGTTGATCTATCATTTAAGATTAAACATCTAGTAAATGCTGTAGCTATAATATTTATGTAAACACACCGACTAATCACTCATAATTCGAGAAATAGGAGATTAAGTTAAAGCAATATTAAAGTAATTACCGAGCAAATTGTTACAATTCTTTGTTAAGCAATAAAATTATTAAAATACCTTAAGTTGAATTGTAAGCTGTTTATTCATGTGCAGAATGAAATCTAAACAGATTTTTACATTTTTTCCTTTATTTTGTGAAAATCTTACGTCATAATCGCTCTGTAGATTGAATTTTACATCATTTTTTAATAAATAAATATCTCGGAAAGCCACAAAAATTTAATGTACTTGCAAACGAATTTAGGTCGTGATAAAAAGGAAACTTCAAGAAAAATGACGCCATACCCGAATGGTTTCCGTTAGCATTTCTACTTAGACATAATTATTAACAATAACATTATTTATCTATTTGTTAGTGCATCGCATGAAGGTCATCGTGAGCTTTGCAATTATATAATTCGATATATTTCGTCACATGGCGACAGGTTAATAAATACCGCAATTTTTCAAATTGTAGTTAAATTGTTCGATATTAGTGGGGGCAGGAATATGTATTGTATTCAAACGAAGAAGCTAAAATGGGCACGGATCATCGTTCACGGACGAGATTAGATAACGGAGCAATATTTTATATCATGTAGGTATCTGTTACATAATGTAATTTTGTAGAATGTTTATGTCCCTTGTCAATAAAATTTATTTATCATTTGAAATGAGTCCAAGCCACAAATTCTTTAAAACACGTCTACGTGTACTTGGAAATCTATCTGCAAGGTAAAACATTTTTGCTGCATAACGAGGTCACACTGACAGCCATAATTGTTACAATAAAATTAATTTACATGAATCATAATGTTAGCGCATATATAATGCACATTCTAGTTTCTATGCTGTTCGTTAAAGAAAACAATCTCTACACCCCATTTACTTCCCTTTGTGACATACAAGTTATCTGTTTCCGGTTGTCTAGTAGGCCGTGATGGCCTCCTACTTAGAATTGAGACATATCTTTACGATCTCTAAAATAGCTTCTCTAGCCAAGGTTTACATCGACAAAATGACGAAATGTTTTAATAGCACTTAGATAAAAAAGTACGTCCTATTTCTTCAAAAACTCCATAAGAGCAGAAAATTGTTTCAAAATCTCTCCTTCGGTACGTCACTGATGCATGGAACAATGCTAGTAATAATTTTTTGTTCACCTTATACCCTTACCAAAATTAAATTTAATAGCATTTGTAATTGTAATATTTGAGAATTTGCTCAAAAAAGCAATTTAAACAGTGAATTTAGACATTCTGTATTTCTTTTATCCTAATATGTTCTATTACCTTTCACATTTTTACAGAGTAAAACCGAGACATCTGCCAAAAACATTATTTTTAATATAATTTTATTCCTAATAATTAATATTTAACATTATTACCGTATTATTAATATCAAAGTTATATAAAGATATCTTTATATTTTTCCATAAAAATGTAATTTTTGTTTTTCCAAACAACCGAACAAATTCAATTTAAAAATGTAAAACTATTTCACAAAACATAAACAGGAGAAATTGAAGACATGTAGACTAGTACGTAAACAATCCAGATGGCCGTTCCTGGAAACGCTAGTCCAGACAAAAGCGAAGCGTCTATGTTTGACAGTTTTCATCATATCGGTGAACTTCTTTTGCTGTCGGTAGCTTATGGTTGTAACGGCGTGTAGTGTGATGCATTTTTATTAAAAGTGTATTTAATATGTCGTAATAAAGTCCAATAACTTTTGTAAAATAGTGTGTGCAGTGTAGTGAACCTACGAGTGTGGTTTGCGGTACGACTCCATGAGCTTTTTGACGAAAGAATGCAAAAGGTAAGTCGTTTTGTCTTTATATAAAGAAACGTAGAAAAACAGTTAATAATTCGTATTGCCACTATTGCCAGCCTTGTCTACAATCTACAAGGTATAAACTACTTTTTGAAATGTCGCAAAGTTGTAAGGCGAACATATTCTTCTACTATACACGAATGAACTGAAGTTTTGTCACATATCTAAGTTTTGTGTAGATGTAATAATTTATTCTATAAATAACATAAATTGGTTAAGGTGAGGGTTATTACTACAATTATACAAGCTGTTTAATGGGCCCGTCAAATATTTTATGTTCTGTTTTGCTATTTTACAAGCTCGCTTGGTGCGCACAAGCAGATTCGATGCGTTCGGGTAGTTTCGGCGAGTTTCGTTACTCTTTGAACGTATCAACCATAAATTCAGTTTTGTTTCATCGTCAATGACCGTGCTTTTTAATAATTAGTTATTATATTCGAAATATTTAAATAATAGTCCATTACAATAATTATACCTTAATATTACCTGTTAGAATTTGTTTTTGTGTTTGAAATTTATGGTCGGACTTTTGTTGATTATTTTCAATTACACACGTTGATATTGAAATGTTTAATACTAATTAACATTTATACGGATATTAATTGCAAGTAATAGTAATAGTATATTTTTTATAATAAAAATATTTGTTTTATCTGATTTTCTGTCAGTAAAAACAATTTGATCTAAATCATTTTAACTGTAACTCCAGAATGGTTAGTTTTAGTTTACATGTTTATGAAAACTACAAGTTTACTACGGTTTACGAGTAGATATTTTTATGGAATTGAATGTAAAAAACAGTTCAATCAAAATAGTACAAGTAGTACTATTTGCTGTTCAAAATTCCAAATATTTCTTATAAATTAACTTTAACACCTATACATAAGGATACAGACTGTTTTACAATTTTAAGCAAATTATGTATACGTAGAAAGCATTTACATATAATTCAGTTTTCGTTACCTACGCAAATGTGTACACAATGACGCAAATTTTAAAACTATTATGTGTTTAATTTGTCATCGGAATCGTCACTTATTTTACATTAATAGTGTGACTAGAGACTTTTATGTCCTTCTAACTTATCCATTTGTTAAACCTACATCCTGAGCGGCGTATAGCTAGAGTATCCAAGAAATTACAAATTGTAGGTCAGTTGTGCCCACCACTTGTAACTAATGGTGCATGTTATACGATGCAGTAAATGCACATTGATGTACTACCTCGGATTAAACGTTCGTTAATTCCTGTCAAGTCATTCAGTGCAGGCGAAAAGTGTTCATCGGGATGCCCAGCAACCTGGAATCCTAGAAAAATTAGAGATTTGAAACTACTTCATAATTATTATTAAATACTATTAGTTTACTGTTATTGTTTAAAAACGGTTATGCCCTCAAGTCTTTGTTTATTATTAATTTTTACGGTATCTAATAACACGATCGATGAATGAACAATCTGAATTTTCGAAAGTAGGTAACCGATTGATCGACAAACTGTTGTAATTAAAAAAATGATTCCTTTACAGGTTATCTTTAATTTAGTAATTATAATGGTCTATGAATAGAAAGGCACAACCAAGTGCTTGTTACCTAAACTGCCGTGTTCTTATTTTAAGTAATGTCTTTACCTCTAGCACCTCTTCGAACGTGTTTAGAATAGATTTATAGTCCATCATTAATTTGTTACAGTCCATGTCCATACAATTATATCGGCATTGCATCGGCACAAAAATTCAATAACCGGATCAATATTTTTTTTGTTCCGCTATGACTGTTATGCATCGGCTTTAACTGTTTCGTAAGAATCAGCTGGAAACTTCAGGGCATTAGTTTTGTGTTCAATGGTAACAATAGCTTTTTGTATTAATAAAATTAAGACTTTCGCTTAATTTCGAGTAAAAAAATTGTTACATTTTACGCATTATA